TAGTATATGAAATTATAATATTATATATTATATATAAATTAAAATAATATAGTATTCACACTTTTGATACGCTCTCAAATTAGAATTCTTAAAAGATATACGCTCTTTTGTTATTGTTTTCGCTCCACGAATCGGTAAGCTAAGTTTGGTGTGGTGTGGTCGACGTCGGAGGTAAGTGGCGCTTATATTGCTTCAACTGAGGATGAATATACAGGAAAAGAAGAATATTCTTTGGACTGTGAGGTTTGCATGTGACTTTATTTCATTTAGGCCTCATAGTATTATTATTGTTACGAGTAATTATTATTAATCCAATAATTTGAATGGTTGGAAGTGGTATATGTGTGGATCTTAATTTTATTTCTTTTAAGTCTTATAAATTGAGGTCGACTCGTGAATTTGAATTTCGCACAAGCCCCGCAATACTATGTACTTTAAGTGATCTTTCGGATGAACTAATTATCAATATGATATTTGTAGACATGCAGCAAGTCCAACTCATATTGGGACTTGCCATGCATAACCAACTTGGTGTTATTTCCATCGATAACACCAACATCATATTTACTTCCAACTCCAAACCTGCAACTCCAAATCGACTTCTCAATCTTTAAATCCATAACAATCTTTATGTGATCAACAGACGTTCCTCGTATCCATGAAACAGATCGTTATCTGCTATAGCGCCAGTCGATCGTTTTGCATCGAAACGATTCGAAATATTGTTGGAGCATCATGTCACATATGTGTTAGCAGACGAGTTTCTTTTACAGTCATTTCTTTCTTTCTTTGGGTGAGCAATTGTAAATTTCCAGTTCCACAGTGGAAAGAACCCTAAACCCCCACCACCATATGTAAGATATGAGATTATCTATCAACCCTAGTTTTGTACAATGCAGAGATCAATCTTATACAAATGATCCTTTTCGAACAAACGATGAACACTTGTATGACCAATCTTATACAAATGATCGTCAACAAAATTGTCTTCCTTATATATGGATGGATAATTAGGCGAATATATGTTTTGATTTGGTTTTAGGACGAGCCGATTCACTCTTCAGTGCTAAGTTCGACTTCCACCACTACGCAACCCCTCTACATAGAGGCTTTCGCGTAGTCTTTTTGACGAAATCATCCTACAAAAATAGATTATGAAAATTAACTTTGACCTTTCCTAAAAATAAAAGAAAGAAATTTACTTTCAATCTACCGAAAGAACGCAGAGTTTGCATCTTCTGATGTTGCATTTCCAACAACTATCGTCTTCACTCTTCCTAACTTCGAATCTCTTCTTCCTCATGGCTTTCACCATTTCTTGTACAAGCCGAGTTGGCTTGCATGTGTTACAAGTTACAACCAATTGCGATTTCATACACTCTATCAACTTTTGAGACAGAAAATATTAAAATTCATGATTGCTAATTAAAAAAAAAATCACTTAACAACGGCATAGGATTTCTCTTTTGGGAGGGACTAGTAGAAGGTGAAAATCCAAATCCGTTCCTAAACAAGAAAATCATGTATTGATTACATTAATTAATTACTTTATTAGGATAAAGCGAGGGAAATAAATAAATAATATAAAAGCAAAAAACAAAATCCCGGAAAATCGAACACTCCTAGAACAAGTTAAAAATCGTAAACCCCGAAAGGGCAAAACGAAACCAAACAGTTCCCCTTCCCTTTCTCCGTCTCCTTCACGCCTTTCTTCTTCGATTCTCCGATCGTTTGGTTTCTCTCAGGACTCAGGCGGTTGTTCTTCGATAGAGGAGAAGAAAGGAAGCAAGCGGAGGTAGCTAGACCGAAGCCATGTCCAGCCTCTCCAAGCCGCCGCAGTCCGGCGACGATCATCCTTCTCCGGAGCCGGAGCTGCCGCGGCTGGCTGAAAGCGCTTCATCCGGCGGAGTTACTGTCCCGGTCATCATCGGCCGTCATTTGAGAGGCGGTGCTGATGATTCTCTTGCTGTACCGCCACCGCCGCAATCTCCGACTACTGAAACCACTCCTCCGGTGGTTGATTCTTCTCCTTCGCCGCCTGCTCCGCAGGGTTTAGCTGGGGTGCGCAAGGATCTCGCCGAGATTAAGGGGAGCTTGAAGGCTGGTTTGTCTCTGCTCTCGCGGACGGGGATTTCGAAATTAACCGCCAATTTCTTCCATGAGAGGATAGACGAAGAGGAGGAGGAGGAGGAGGAAGGTGGTGGTGATGATGACGAGGAAGAGGATTACGTGCCTGGGATCACGGATGAGGTCGTTGAGTTCGCTAATCAGATTTCTGCTAGGTCTGCTTGCTGGACCGACTTTCCGTTGGCTCTCGAAGCTGGTAAAATCCTGCTCTGCCTCCAACTTTCGGGTTTCGTTCCTTCTTTATTGCCGCTTGATTGGTAGTTTTAGGGTTGATGATATTTGGGGCTTGGAGGAACAATCATGTTGGGAGAACTTAACTGGTAGTTCCTGTAGCTAGAACGCTAGTGTTTGTAGACAGTTCAGAATTTTGGCTGGTATTTGGAACGCCAGGAATGGCTTTCTTGGATGTTCTTAGCTATGGTTCTGAATTGAAGGATAACTAGAGAGAGCACAAGCTTTGATTTGGTGGTTCTAACTTTTGTTTTTTTGCAGACTTCAAGTTCTCTGATGCTCAGAGGGAGCACGCTGCAACTATTGAGTACATGGTTCCGAGTTTGAGAGCTCTGAGAGTTAGCCTCCATGGTTTCATGAGGTCTGAGCAGTTCTGGATGGTGTATTTCATTCTGCTGCTTCCAAGATTGGATGAGTATGATAGGGAGCTTCTCTCTTCTCCCCAGGTAAGCTTTCAGTTTGTATCCCGCTTATTTCTCATGAGCTTTTGTGTGTAGATAAAGGTAAAAGGATACGTTTTTTTTCCTTGACCAAAGCACGAAATATACTTGGTCATTCGTGGGTGGCTTGTACACAACTGGCTTTCTCTTTTTTTCTGCTGCTGTTTGCTATGATATGCAACAAGCAAAGCGGTAAATGAGCTGTGTAGTTAGTTTAGTACTAAGAAGCTGAACCTTGATATGGTCCTTGAAATTAGTTAATTTTACATGCAGAACGACTTCTGTTACAAGTTGATGTCAGTTGTTTCAAAAAGAGTGGGTTTTGGAGTTTATAGTAAGCAAAATATGTTGGAATAATGAGCATATTCTGTAGCAAGTCATCCCAGGTCAATATGGTAACTTGAAGAGGGTTTGACAGGTCTGAACTGAAGTTAGGAAAATAATGAGTTCTGTGCATCGTCATACATCATATATCGATTCAACTGGTGGAAAGAGAGAAGACGAATATGGTTTGTTCTGTGATTCTGTCACTTGGCCATGGCGTTGTGTTGTTAAGCAAGTCACCTAAATTCTAAGGGGACATTACATAAAGGCTTAATTCTTTTGGGTTTTGGCATTTTTATGAAACTTGAGACCAAATCCTTCATACCTGTGTAGTCGATGTCTATTATTTATGACTTCAATTCTAGTTGTTGCTACTTTCCTGGTGTCAATTTTCGACCTTTTCACATTCGAACTTCGAGTTCCTAATGTTCGCATTGTTCAGACTACTTACCCCCTATCAGCACATACAAGCTGCATCTTCTCTAACAAAACTCCTGAACCTGCTCTTCGCAGGTTGTTAATACCCGAAACAGGCTTCTCCAGAAGCTCCAAGCCAGCAAGAACGAGAAGGTGGAAACCTCTGAAGATGCATCTCAGGGTAACAGCAGCACCAGAGACGAACCGAACCTCGAGCCACGCCCACAACCTTCAGATCCTGGCGTCAGTGTCGGTACCTCCTCCACGAGCCGCAAGAAGAAGCATGCTGATGAGCTTTCTTACTTCTCGTTCAGCGACCTGGACGACGATGACAGCGTCTTTTCGGGCAGGCTCTCGACCTGCAGCCGGTCTCGCGGGCTGAGAGATCCGTCGCCTGGAGGATCTTCGACCGAATGGGTCCAGCTGAACCGTGGGTACGACTCTCGAGGTGGATCCATCAGGTCGAGGCAGTCGATCTCTCGTGAGAAGGACTCGGATGCAGATTCGACCGCCAGTGAATGGCTGAAAGTTTACGAGTCTGATTAAATAAAAAGGAAATTGGCTGGCCTTGCTCCAAAATTGTCAATATTTATTACTGTAAATCTGTTACTTTGTTGTTCTTTTTTTCTTATGGTTCTTTTGCAGTCTCTCTCTGCATGTCGCTTTGTAAATTATGGAGTCACGAAACATGTGTCTTCTTCTTTGTTTCCTTGTTGGTTGGCGTCTATTAGTTGATGAAATGTAAGATTGTGGTCGTGATCGTAAGAACTTCAGGCACAAGTTAACAGAGATCCTCAGTATGGGCCGGGCCCATCATTATCCTGAATTCGCAGCACTTTTAGGGCCGAGATGGCTTTCACGGGGCCTAACTTGATCGGTATTGGGCGGCTTTAGCTCCTCGTCACATATATGACGAAAATTGTCAAACCTCCAACTGGAACTACTTGCTATGAATAGCAGGAGATGAGCCAAGTTTTGAACGAGTTTTTTTTCGAGTCGTAGTAAGTAGTAACGGGCAAGCGTATTATTATATATTGAATCAGAGAGGAGTGAAGGGTGGTCGTGAATGGTGACCATGGAATTCTTCCTGGAATCTTTTCCATTCACTCAAAGGAAGAGCTAGGGGGTAAAAGGAGAATATGATCAAACAATCCAGCCTATCTATGAATCATATGCATGTATACATAACGTAAGATGTTATCCTTTTCTGATATAGCTTTATTTTGATGGTTTATGGTATGATCTACCAAATTTGAGATGCTTGAATCACTGGCAAGTTTTTAGGAGATTGGTATAGGATCAATAATTGAGCTTCTCCCGCAACAAGTCAAATTATTGAGACAAAATGGTTTACGACATAGTAGCAGAGTTGGTTTTGGCCAAGTGGTCGCGTAAATTTGAACCTTCGTGACTCCCAATATTAACCATTGATTTAAGCACAAAGTTAAGTATGATGGAGTCGTGTCAATCTTCAATCCTGTGAGGTGGCTAGTGGTTGAGGACGTTTTTTTTCTTCTTCAAGATGGTAACGCGAGATTCGACTTCCCATCCCTAACCCCCTTCCTCCTTTCACTCTCTATCTCGCCAAACCATACGATATAGTTTCTCGATGAACATGATGTTTCTCGATGAACAAGATTAAAGTTTTTGTGACACCTTACTTACTCCTCCTAGCAATGTAACAATAATCATAGCTTCTAACTTCTGAAAAGAATCACGACCTCATTGTATATTGATCAGTAAATCATATCTCGAGATATTCTCTGATCATACCAATCAATCTTATGATCTTGCACATGGCAATGCCCATGGCCTTTTCAATATCTCTATATGGTGACATATGAAAACCCTAAATCTACAATAATTCAGCACCAAACCCTTCTGTATCCACCTCATTATGTCTCGCCATTTTTATAAAGCTACATCTCCATAGATTGCTGATAGGTCTCCTTTCATGTGGACCTGACTATATAGATGTACACATCTATCCATGTATAATTTTCCCCTTTCAATTTTCATCTTCAAGATCGATTATTAGATTGTAAAAGCATTATAGCAGAATGGGAAGAAAAGCAAACAGATTTACTCAAATCCAGCTTAAAATACTTCAAAGAGAACGACTTTTCTTTCTTCTCTCTACCAACCGGCGGGTAACCAACTGGGGTATAGTGTATAGGTGTGTTCTTATCTAACAACTAACAAGTAAGTTTCTATCTTGATGAATGTGGTGTTATATTCGTACCAATGTTAATGAGTGATACAAGATTCGGGTTTTAACCTCTCAACAATAACTCGGGGTTGGTAGTAATTGGTCTTTAACATGCTAGATGATTTTTAGCCGAAAGGCAGAGATTTTCGAATCTTGATAATCTCTGATGGTAATGTTTATTAGATATTACTAAGGCATGATGGGCTTACACTATTTTAGCTTAAGGTCGATGGAGGAGGATTTCATTATTGTTTGATCGTCCAGATCATTCGCCACCTGCTCTTTTTTCCGATTAAACAAAATAGAGTAGTTTTCGAGTAAAAATCTGAGCTCACTAGGTGCTTTCGGGCAACTACCCAATCAGACGCGAGCCCCCTACTCGGACGGATTCCTCCTTTTGCTCCTCAACCTACGGAGTATTAGTAGTCGTTTCCAACTGTTGTTTCCCTGGCCAATGGCAGGTTCTTACGCAATCTTTCTCTTTCTGGTCGTAGTCTCAGGTGGCAAAGCGGCTGACTTAGGGTTGAATTTCTTAATTCCTTCTACAAGCATGGCAACTTCACCAAGATTGGTGTGCTTTAATATGAGGGGGCGATATAGATATGGATCTTATAGCTTCTTTCAACAGCTCGTGTTATTGAAAAAGAGCTGGTTTCTCAAGAATGATCGCCAATTTAGCTCATGAAATATAACAAATATAGTTTTTTCTTGGAAAAGAGTAGAATCATTACACTAACCAATGCCATTAGATAAGTATGTATTTTTGTCCATCAAATGAATATCAAACTCTAGAAGTTGTGTCAAAGGAGCCAAGATGATCAATCAGCTACAAAATTATCACAGTGACAGATAAAACACACATAAATTTTATTAGAGAACGTCTCGACATAGATGAAACTCGTGCAAACCAATGACAAGTCTAAGGGTTGAAAATTATATTTGTACAAGAAGAAGAAAAGATAGGAGCCTATTATTGCTAAAAGATTTTTTTTTTTTAAAGATAGTGGCCTACTCTTTCTTAGTGGGGGAGTAGTACCACTTCAACTTTTATCACTCAAAAGAGATGGAGTTTGTATAAAAAGACTATTTGGCAGATTTCTATTGTCATCAAATGGCTGGTATTTGGTCCAAAAAGTAAGTAAACTTAAAAGTCCTAAAAGGATAAAAAAAAAAAAGAGGCACCTTAACCTCATTGCTTCAATTAGGCAAAGTGCCCTTTAAACACCTTTTGGCGATTGATAAGCTTTTTTGCTTTGGAGCCCTTGGATTGAGGGTATGACTTATTGTGAATATAGAAGGTATGTACTTATTGTAGGGTAGCATGGCCTTGTATAATTTGGACCCTACGTACATCTTCTTTTTCCCAAACAACACAATAATTGGTTAGATCAGCATAGTCATTGACTTATTGTAATACCCCATATGTCTAATTTACATAAAATTCAATTTCTATCGATAAATTGGCCATTGAGTATTCTCGGTTACGAAATGTGGATATAAATTTATCGATAGGGGAAATTTTCAGCTTTGCAAGTTCAGCATTTATCTCCTTCAACCTTCTACACTTTAACCGTTGAACTGGTGATGGGCTACTAACTACGTTCCAAAGTGGATCTGTTCTTTTTGCGGAGTGAATTCATATTTCGAATCTCATTTGCTCGTACTCCAACTAAACCTAAGTTTTGGGGGAAAAAATGGTTCATGAATGAGAATGAGGGATACATGTAGCCATTTTTATATTAAAAAAAACAATAGTTGAATGGGCACCATATACGCATAGGATTATTCATTTTCTCTCACCCTCTTGTTATATTATGTTGGAAATTTTTTCATAATATTTTATTCTTGAAGGATAATATTGACCAAAAAAAGAATGCCACTAATGACTTTAGTTTTGTCTCTAACAAGGTTTAAATTTATGAGTGATGATTAATTTAGACAACATGCTTAAGAGATACAGGAACCTTAGACCACCCACAGTGTGGGTTGATTTTGTGGGAAAAAGGGGAAATGTGACCACAATGTGGGGGGGAATAGGGGATTAAATGGGTTTTGTGGGTTTAGTGGGTGGGAAAACCCACCAGATGAGACAAATGGTGGGGGGAAGTGGTGGATGCGAAAGGACAACCATTTTTCTGATTTTAGCAAAGGCTTATTTGGAAAGTTGTGTTTTTGTCTCCTCGTATTATTGTGATTTTGTCATTGATGATGTCATACTTAATTAGTGATGAAAAAAATATGTCTAAATTAAAAAAAATTATGTCGAAATGTTCGTATTAATTAATTATCACTAGTACGTATTAATTAATTATCACTAGTACGTAATAATAATGATCATTATATGAAAATAAAGTGACAAAATCAACTATAGATTGATTTTAACAAAAAAAATACTAAACTGATTACCCACTTTTCCCACCACCACATTGTGACCAAATCATCCAATTTTCCCACTTTCCCCTCTTTTCCCACATTTTCCCCCACCCACATTGTGGATGGTCTTAGACAGCATGTTTAAGAGAGATAAAGAGAGCTTTTAGTATTATATATAGGTGGCTAATTGAGCACATTAGTATATAATTAATTTAGTAATTAGCCATTCCATTAGTCTAACAAACATTCCTAGTCTGCAACTAGAGTCTAGAGGAATATTTCTTTAGAAACTTTATTTTTATTTATTTATTTATGTGATTTAAGTACTATTGCTTTAGAATATAGTACATACTCACATGATTTCCAATTCATGAAGATTAAACACATTAACACAAAGGTGAAACATGAAAGAAAGAGTTCTACGTGGAACGAAACCTGTAAAGTCAGCTTTCTCATCTCGAAATGAGTTTGGATATAAGTCTCATGTTCATACACGAGGGTCCTAATCTATACTAGTTTCGAGATCGTTTTACATTGAACATGGGTCTCGGAGGAGATAGCTCAGCTGACTTATAACAACCACTAATCCGGTCACTATTCTAAGTTAGTTAGTTTGCTCATCATATACATATACAATATTGATAGAGACAGACGATAATTCCTTATAAGCTACGCGTTACTATGCTTCTATCATTCTATATGTATACAAAGCTCATATTTTGTACTAGCTAGATTTTTTTCCCCCCTGACAAGTTGCTTAAGTGTTGTTCTTTTACGTGGTAAATATTGTTTTTAAGGATAAAATGAAACAAAAGCATAAAAACATAAAGCTTATTCTAGGACATATATACTAGGTCCTTTCATCAATCCCATCAAATGCATGAAAATCCTAAAAGGCATCAATTTTAGTGAAAGTATTAATACATAATCTTTTCTACGTTGAATCCATTACCCAATAGAAACCAGTGCCAACTGAAGAAATATACAATCAAATAGATAAATAATTCTCCCACATTAAAACCATATTGGATTCATCTATTTGTAATGTAGTTTTGCCAACTTGCAAACTTTGGCAGCACCTTTATCTCTTCACGTGAACTGGTTCTCCTTTCTACCTAGCCAGAAGAAAAAAAAAAAAAAATCTAAACTCATGAAGATTCGTCAATACAAATATGATAGATTGGTTGAGGCGCTAAATCTTGAATTCGAAGATTCTTATTTCGAAACTCATAGTCTGCAATCATTTTTTCTCTTCTTTTTCGTTATAATGTTGATCAACACTATTATTTCAAGGTATCAAATGCCTATGAGTAATATAGCTCAAACAAAGAAAAATGAAAAGAAAATACGAAAATTCAAACTTGACACATGATATCTACACTGATCGTAATTCGAGTAGAGTAAGAAAGCAAAAAAACATTTTGATCGTAACACAAAAAGACATACAACTAACCATAATGCGAAGTTTATGCTCATAATAACAAAAATCAAACTTACTAACCACATAATTCATCCATAAGATGACCAACTACTACTTCACATCCAAAATCATAGGCCTTTTTTCTCTTCACTCTCCAAAATCTACTATATATAAACACATGCACTTCCTCCAAACCCACCCCACATTCCTTCATTCACCCAAAAAAAAAAAAACAATAATCCCCAAAAATGGAGTCTTCCTCCAAATCCTCAGTCCTTCTCCTAATCTTCATGCTCTTCCTCTCCTCCGCCACTCCCATCCTCTCCTCCTGCGGCCGCTGCGGCGGCCGGAAGCCCAACCCAAAGCCCAAATCTCCTTCCAAGGGCCCAGGCCCAATCAAGCTCCCCCCAATCCACCTCCCCAAACTCCCACCGGTCACCGTCCCCAAAGTCCCCATCCCCAACCTCCCCACCGTCCCTCCGGTGACCGGCGGCGGGTCGGGGAAGTCACCGTCGCCGGCTGCCAACTGCCCTCCGCCGCCGGCGAAGAAGGACACGTGCCCCATCGACACGCTGAAGCTGGGAGCCTGCGTGGATCTGCTGGGCGGGATCGTCCACATTGGGCTCGGGGGCCCAGTTGTGAACAAGTGCTGCCCGGTGCTCGCTGGGCTTGTCGAAGTTGAGGCCGCGGCCTGCCTGTGCACCACGTTGAAGATCAGGGCCTTGAACTTGAGCATCTTCGTCCCTTTGGCTCTTGAGCTGCTCATCACTTGTGGGAAATCGCCTCCACCTGGCTACACTTGCTCCATTTGAAGTTTGAAAAGGTAATGTATAGCCTTAGTGGCGTAGCCAGACTTACCGTTGATCGTGATTTTTATGTACTGCTAACACCAACGAAAAACGATCATACTAAAATCTATGTATCAAATGTATTTTTCGTCAAAATGGGGTCTATATCTGAGGATCCCTGTCCTCAAGCTTTCCCTCCGCCACTACCTTCCACAAAATTATTGTACAACAATTACCCAAAACTTTGCTCGTGTGATAGTTAGAAATGCGCGTACAAATCGTAACAGATCTGAAAGATAAAAATAATCGTTTAGTGATGTCGTACTATGCTCTAATAAAGCTAACCACGATTCAAATCCCTAAAAGTGCTACTTTAGTTTTCTAGATTCACACATTGGTATAAGATGGTAGTTAGTATCATATTGTAACACTAATTGGCATGATCGTAATGCAGGGCTTGCAAGCTATAGCAGGAAGTGATATGGATGGATGATTGAAGTAGTCGACATGAGAGGATGTCGGGCTTTCTTGTTTGTTCTCTCTACTCTTTCTCTCTCTAGGGTTTTTTTCTTTTTTGTATTGTTGGAATTATTGTTATGGTAAGGGGGTTTGGTTGTACTTTCAATGGATTGGCAATGTGGGAGTGAAGATGTTTGGAGTGTATTGGTGTAATACTATTTGTTGTCAATGAGCTTGTTTGTTTGCAATGGAGGTGTAGTGTGAGGTTTTGGTTTGACGTCTTAGTGAAAGAAATTTGGTCCAAGAGAAGAGTATCTATCATGTTAGATTCTCATAGTTCTAGTATAGGAGAGGATGGCCAATATCATAATACTCTCCATAGACTAGTTATGTGAGCATGCAAATTTTTGTGTGTTCTCAACATAAAGAGAGAAAAAGAACGACCAAAGTTTTTGAAATGATATGACTGAGTATCAAGAATAAAAAAAGTGTAACGACATGATTAAGTCCGAAAAGATAATTGAGATCAGTGAGCATAATGAATGGAAGGAAAGAAAAAAGAGTCAAATATCCATATTGATATAAAATATAAGGTGTCAGTAAGAAATATGTCGATCTTTTACGATTGAGCACTTCATAAGTTGTAGCAATCATTAGAAATTCGATTATAATATTCTCTTAGGCCATTAAGAGTCGAATCTCAAATATCTCACTTAAGCGGTACGATGAAGAATGTGTATATATAGAGGTCCTTCCTTCGATCCTAAAGTACAAAAATTAAATCCATCACTTCTCAAATCATTGGTTTTAACTTTGGACACATCGTATATATTCATAAAAATACGCATCAATGATCGCGACACAACAAAATTAATCTGTCAAACTAAAACTAAACTAAGTACCATCATCAACGGTAGAAAGACGGTTAAACCTCCAATTCCAATTGAAAATACTTCTAGCAATGCATGGATACTACTGGCCAAAAATATTCGGGAGGACGCCTAGAAGCATGTCGACATATGCTATTAGTGCCAAATCCAAATCCACGTCCATTTGCGTGTTCTGAATGTTCATGGATGATATATCAATATTCGACTACTGCGCTTCTTTATGGTTATGAATGAAACGGTTTGTGATTGTACGATGTGTGAGAATACAAATTTATCCATAGTTTGACCACAAAACATAACTTCATATCTCTTTCAAACATGTAGATCATTAGCAATTTACCCAAGACCCAACAACTTACTAGGTTTGCCCTAAGTAAAGCATATGAGAAGAACCCCTCATAAACTCCCTAAGGCTAGGATCAACCAATACAATCATCATCTCTCGAGATGGAAATACAAAGTCTTCCAAATTTCTCTAAAAGATACAACTCCCCCATAACCTATATGATTAACCCATATTATAGTTTTAACAAAATTCCACTCTCCCGTCCATTTCTCAAATCGACTAATCACCAAAGTACGTGCACTCTCTCTACTATATATAAAACTTCCCTTCCAACGCCCGTGGCACCCTACAAAGATATAAGTTCTTCCCATTTACACCCTCAACATACTTTTTTCCTACAAAAATGGCCCTAAATTTCAGAGCCACCGCCACCTTTCTTCTGGTTACAACAACTCTCATGCTCTCCTTCTCCTCCTCCTCCTCCTCCTCCACCTCCTCGAGCGAAGCAATAGAAAACCTCATTGGGTATTCTTCCATCAGAGTCAGAGGCGCCAATACGAAGTTTACCATCAACATAAAGTCAACCAACTACAATTTCAATGGTTGTTGTGATCACAAGATCCCAGCTGCTGACCGGAAGTTGAATAAGCACGGAGGCAACGGGACCGCCACCGCGTCGGAGCTGGCGGCCGGAGGGACGACGACGATGATGAGGTGTCCGATGGAGAGGGTGATGAAGGTGGGAGCGGGGTGCGTTGATGGGCTGGTGACGATGGTCCACGAACGTAATGGGCTTCTTGGCGTGGGCCGGGCTGGAGTTGTTGGCGGCCCAGTGGCGGTTGACTCTGTTGTGGTCAAACAGTGCTGCTCTGTTTTAGGAGGAGATGGGATGGTGGACTTTAATACGACGACGGATTGCTTGTGCGCTACGCTTAGGGTCAAGGCTTTGGATTTGAAGGCGTACGTGCCTCTCGCTCGCCACCTTCTTGCCTCATGTGCCAATATGACGACTAATACTACACCACCACCACAATTCACTTGCTCTCCCGTCTCTTGAAGATCAATTACGAAAGATATGCGTTCAAAAAAAAAACTCTCATGGATTCGAGTATGTACGTATGGTATACGTATATAATACGATGTTATTATCACGAATAATACATCTATACCACAGTTACATGTGTGTGACGTGATCATGTTTCTTCGGTCTACGAGGAAAAGAAACTCATTATAGTTGAATAAATTCTGGGTCTGTCAAAGTATATGAAAATGGTCGAGTTCAAAATCAACTGTACTACATGTATCAGGCATGCTTGTGGTTGGTTGATAATAATATATTACGCTTATTATGCATATTATCAAATTATTTTTGTCATTTGATGGTTATTATTTGTTTTTACTTTTTACTCAAACAAATACCCTATATAGAAGCAATTAGTTAGTCATAAGAGCTTATAGATATGAATTGCATGTGCATAGAGACAACCTTTCTACGTTGCAACTGACCTGAAAACGTACATAACCTTTTAACCGTGCAGTTACGGTCTAACCGCAAAATCGTACATGTATTTTCAAACCCTAACATTCTAAGGCTTTTTCATAAATCTCTAGTACCGACTATGTGCATATAACTTCATTGACTTTTTTTGGACATAATTAATAGATTGGCAAGAGATGGAAAATCCAACGACTTACTAGGTCTGCCTAATGAAGTCATGGTAGCAAAATCCCTCCCGAGACTAGAGAGAGCACAACATGGAAAATTAGAAACCAACTAACAAGCAACAATACAACAGATGAAATATGTGCACAGTTCAGACATGCTCGAGAGTCGAGACACAACGCGCGACGAAGTAAAGAGTAGAGAGCAATCAATGAATGCCCCAAAAATGGACCTCAATACACATTGAAATAACAATATGAGATGTGAAAGAAAAACTGTTTGTATAGTTCATTTTCCTTCCTGTCTCTCACTCTCACATTCATCCTCCTGCTGCCTTCCTCCTCGCAATCTCAACAAGAAGAGCACATAACATTACAAATCCTCGAATGGTGAGGGCCTTACCTTCTCCCTGATTATATCCATCCCCAAACGCTACTCAGGCCAGCACCAATCAATTCAAACCCTCCAACCAAACTATCACCCCCACTGCTAAATCTGGGAATAAAACCGAAAACTTATTCTCTCTGAAGTCAACTATATATATGTTACAAAATCCTACCCAGGAATTTGCTGATCTACCTTGCTAAACTATCCACGGAAGAAGGGAACCTGGAGACAAGAATGCTGAGTGAAAAAACCCTCCCGGCTGGACTCAAACCGATACAAACCCGATGAAGCCAAACCACTCAACATCAAGATTTATTCAATACTACACTGCTTGAAACGAACCTTACCCGGCTACATTGCTTTAACCTGGTAATGGCCGATTCAGACTTCCCGAGCAATAGGTCCAAGTACACTGCTGTCAACGTCGCTTCTGGATTCCCTGGGAAAAGGGTCAGTGCTTGCGTCACGAAATTGTAGGCTCGCTCGAGCTCTCCTTGCATTGCGTACATGGCGGCAAAATTGGCATACAGAGTCCCACGTGCCTCGTCTGGCTTCAGGAATGCGATGCTTTGTGATTCCTCTGCAGAATTAGAAGAAGACTTGTTCTGTGCTGCTGCTGATGATACTCCATTTGACTCCTCCGAATCCAAACTTTTCTCCACTTGCAGCTGCTCAAAATCCTCTTGCTTGAAGGGCAACTCGACATTGTTTTCTCCAGAGAGATAGATCGACAAATGCTCAGCTGCTTCTTTTGGCTTGTTCAGTAAGCAGAGTGACTCTGCAGCATACAAGTGTCCAAGAAAGACGAAAATTCTTGAACATTCTGGTAGTTCCAAGAGAGACATTGCACTCAACAAAGCCTTGGTGGGGTTTTCAAGTTCCAGTTCAACATAGGCCAGGTTTGCAAGAAGAGCTTGCTTAATCATCTGGTTTTCTCTACGATGGACAACTTCGTAGTGAGATATCGAGTTCTGCATTACTTCCTGGCTTGTTGCTCCTCCTTTTTGCTCTTTCGCGTCTCCATTTGCATTAATGTGACCCATGTTGCCTGTCGAGGCTGTGGCATCAATACCTGTCAAGTTCTTGTGATTCGGGTTCTTCAGAGTGTCTCCCAATTCATTTTCCTCCAAGGAGAAAGATGACGGTAACCCGTACTTCAGATGGTTTAGTTCGGAGAAGTCTAACAAATGCAAAGCATTGAATAGGCACTGCCGAGCAAAAGAAATTGAAAGCTTAGGTTGACCATCGCCCAGAGACAGACCCTCTTTTTCAGCAAATCCATTTCTTGATATCCCATCTTCCACAGCAAGATGCCTCCATTTTCCCTTACCAACAACATGCACCATGATTTCTGTTTTGCCAGAAGAGGCACCACTGCTAGCTCTACTCACTCCCTTCTCTAAAGCCATAATACAGCATTCAGCAAGGCGGAGCCACAGCAGAGGCCTGTTGTAGAATATTAAGCTCGCCTTCTGAAAACAACGAGCAGCCAGCAAAGGTTTCCCACATGCCAAGTGCTGCACCCCACAATTGTATAATATGGGGAGAGACTTATCCTGTGACAAAGTTAACAGCTTTAGAGGCTTGTCCTTCCGAAGAGATGAACAACTGCTCAGTGCTTTTGAGAAGAGGACTGATGAGGTGTGGTATTTCCCAAGTTGATAATAAATGCAACCTAAGTTATTGAACATGTTGGAAATCCCCATTTCTGTTCGGTTACTTGATGCCATCAAAAGCTTCATAGCCTTTCGATGGTTGCCACGGGCATATGCAAGCTGAGACTTCAGGAGTAAGGCTGTTGATGAGTCTCTTCCTCGCGCAATGTTCATAGCTAGCTTAACTTCACGCTGAGCTTGTTTCAAGTTCCTAGTCAGAAGGAGAACCTGAACCTTGTAGAGTTGCAACTTAAGCTTCAAATCGATTGTAGACATAGCCCTGTCCCCTGAGGTCCATGAAAGATCAGTAGATGATGAAAAGCCTGGTGGCTTTCCCAAGCCCTGCGCACTTATGTCTAGCGAAAACACAGATTCGTACTCAAGTGACTCCTCTGATAATGATAACGACCTTGATAACGAACTTTCTAAGGCACTCCCGCTAGCCCCTAAATCAGAATTAGACGTATCGACTGCTGATGAACTGGTTGGAATAGAAGAAGATTTTGCAACTAGATTCGTTGATTGCTGCTGTTGTGCATTACCATTATCACCATGACTAACAGTATTGACACCGAAAGCTTTTTCTAGATAGAGTAGCACATCCTGAAAAATATTAGAAAGAACAAAATATTTATTTATACATGTTTCTACTGGACAATATAATTGAACGTGAACACTCAAAAGACAAATGAAACTGGGACGAAATTCAAGATTCGTCGAGAGGAACATGCAAACAATGCCCTAAAAACAACAACTTTTGTTCTGAATAGAACCACTCAATAAGAGGTAATACCACAATGTAACAGTACATGATGCTAAAACTGATGACATAATATCAATTCGTAGTACTGACTACAATTTTATTCTAGCACAACTGTAATAGAAAGAACAACTATAAGCAATGGCTAATGAAACGTTTCCAACTCAACAAAGACCCAAATGCAGAACAAAAAAATACTTCATGTACTCTACAAGATGTTCAATAAGGCTAGCATAAGCCACAAATATAAAGAAAGCATCCTCAAAGGCATTAAAGTTCTTCAACAACTAAAAAGGTTCTTAATTGAGTTGCAAATAAAACAGCCATTTAACAGCTTACATAAGCTGTTTTCTGACTGAAAGATACTAGTGATAGAGGGCATGCAGCATGGAAACTGAAGGCTCATATCCAGATACAATTGAACTTACAGCAGATTTGGATGCATCTTGACAAGCAAGTGCGACATCCAGCAATAACAAGCAAACATGAAGAGCTGTTGTCTGCACATAAAGATCAGGGATCAGGACTATAAGTTTAACCCAAACGAACAATTCCAAATAAACAATAAAGTACCTCGTCTATTGGCTCGATATTGTGATACAGAGTCTCTAAAACTGATAGGGCTTTCGTATACTCATGAAGATGATACCAAATAATAGCCTGCAATTCCCAAAATCAAAAGGGAAATGTCATTTCCTATCGCTGTAAACCAGTAACAAAAAATCAAATGGGAGACATCACAGAACCCACAATGTTTAGCGTTGCCACAGCTGGGTCAAATTGATCCATGTAAACAAGTGTCCCACTATTTCCTGCAGACAACTGATGTGTCATCGTACCACTTCCTTTAGAACCAGGTGCGACTTTGTTCCCACTATTGCTACCAACTTCCACAGCTTCTCTGGAAGCATTTGCAAGATCCTCGCTTTTCTTCTGACCTCAGATAACCACCATGAAACATAAATATATATCAACTAACATCCTATCAATCAAACTCATTACAAGAAACCACAAAATATTGGTAGCAGCCAATCAATCTAGGAAACTGTCAACTCTGAGTAGTACACTAAGTGACATGTCAGGCTAGGACAAGGATAAAATGTGGGGCCATATCAGAGTCATCAATGATCAAACGCCCACTAGTAAGAATTATATAAGATACATAAGTCTCACAGCTTCACAGGATAAAAGTCTCAGTTTAAGGATGTGATCAAATATAAGCATGCATGATAAGCAGCCTGATAAATTAGACACCTTGTGGGAGTTGGTATGACCTTAAGCTACAAAGGAAGAGAAAAGAAAAAGAAGCCATACCTTCACAGAATTGAGTACATCAAGCAACTTCTTTGGATTCGAACAACCATCTCGAAAATATTCTGCTATAGCAATATTATGAAGTACCTAGGAGAGATATAAAGGATTCAAAAAATCAAACTTTTATTAAAGGAGATGAACACTTCAACAATGGCCATGGCCACAAACCCACCCATCCAATTCAAACTGACGCCCAATGCACCTAATTCAAACTAATCAACATGCTATCATAAAGTTCATTAACACTATCTATTATACCCCTGGATGGACCTCGCTGACCCTGATGAAAGTGTATTAAAGACAATAAAAGCAACCAGGTGCCGGATCTAAATGATTCTCTTCTCCTAAGAACAACTTGCATACTAACATCGACCCGGGGAAGACGGCTAAACAAATTTGGCATACATAAGATATCATATTCATGTAAGCACTTGTCAACCCGTGTAAAAACCATACTCCACTTTCACATGCACATTCCATAGTTCAACTTCTCCCTAGACAGAAACCACCAAACTACTGCAGCATCTTATCGCTAATCCCAGCTCAAACTATTCAAAAATCAAAGAGAAGACCAACAAGTCCAAGTCGAAACAAGCAACCACTAATCAGTAGTCCCCGGGTCCAAATGTAGAAGCAACAGCTAACTGAGCTCCAGGGTCGAACGACTAAGCCAGAAAAGTAACATGAAAAGCACAAGCAGACAGGGAGGTCAGAGGAATCACTTTAGGATCGCCTTCTTTCTTCTGCTTGAGCTGATGCAGAACCTCGAGGCAGTCGGAGAAGCGGCGGGACTGGAAGTGCAATGCGGCATCCTTGGCGAGAGCAGCAGTCAAGGAGAGGATAGCGTCGTCCTCCCCGTTGGCGGACGTGGAACCGCTGGTCGCCGGTGCGGCGACGGAGGACGAGGAGGATTGAGATGCCGAATCTCGCGAGTCCATGGAGCAGATCCAACTACGTGGCCGCTGAATTTAAGCAATCTGAAGGCGCGGAGTAATGTATTCGAAAGCTCGAGCAACTGTGAAGAAAACCCTAAGTCCCCCTCACGGAAATCTGGGAAGAAACGGAGCGAGAAGCTGGAATTTCATTCGAGTGGAGAGAAAGGGATTAGGGGAGAAATGGAAGGTTCCTCGGGCTCCGGAGATTTTTCTTTTCCAGAGGAGAAGGACCAGTTGCGTCTGCGCGCGACTGAATCGCCGAGAGAGAAGAAAGGAGTTGGAAATAGGAGGAAGGAGGAGAAGGAAGAAGAAGACGGATAGAATTAGAAAGAGAAGAAACGAGTTTCGGGGTGGAGTTTCTTCTTACAATTTTTCTTTTCGACATTTTTTTTATTTATTCATAATCATTTGTTCTTTCGGTTTCCTTTTTCTGAACTGGGCTTCTAAGCCCAATTTAGGTTGGGCTTCGACATGACCAAATTGTTGGGCTTCGACATGACCAGCAAACTTTACTGCCTTGTAGTCCAAGATTAAGCGTATAAGCATACCTTTTTACTCAATAAAAGGTTTTATATTACTCAATAAAACGTGATTTTGACTACATTTTCTACGATACCACAACCCACAACGACTTCCAGCTGGGCAAGAGATTGACTCACTAACACCCTCCAATCTGACTTACCACTTCCACTTGTCGTAGAATAACTTCTGGAAACAAAATTACCATTCTCCAAACTTCCACGACCATAAATAAGATTTTAAGTACCTTACAAATAGAAAAAGAGCACGAGTTCTAAAAACAGTCCAAACTTCTAACAATAATTGAAATTATTCTCCAAGGGGAAAAAAACAAGGGGTAATGTCTCCCTGCGCGCTGCTACCTGATTTCAAGTTTCCCTCGACAGGAAAACACAGTAGGGCTGTTGCTCAAAATCCAAATCACAAAACTTCGTTCTCACTTGAGGGACAGAAAGACTGATAGGGCTCGACTCGTTTCGTCTAAGGGTGACCTCCGCGATTCAGACTGACCATACGGGTAGAACCATCCATCTGAGAGCCCCTGACAGCCGAACTAGCCGTCCTTCGCGCACCACCATATGCCGACGAATCCTGATATCGAGAGCCGCCACCTCGTACCTGGCTCCCCCTGTTATACCCGCCTCTACCACCACCTTGTCCAGATCTCCCACCACCACCATACCCTCCTGAACGCCCACCGCCACCACCTTGCCTTCCTCCCTGCTGATTATAGTTATCCTGCCACTTACCCCCACCACCACCACCAGCATTGGCATAGTCCTGCCCTTCTCTCCTCCGCATCGGGAGATCCATCCCGCCGCCACCACCAGACTCCATCGCCCTCTCGTTGCTCTCCGCGAGCACTGAGAGCTTCTCGGTCAACTGGAACGCCAAACCCTGCAGCCTGGAGTACTCAACATCGTTAAACACGACACACTCAGTTGGCTGGTCCCAGCTTGCGTACAGCTCCTCGTTGATCATCATCTTGCTCACCACGCTGTGGGTCTGGGCCCTCGACAAGTCGAACATGTTCATCAGCTGTTCCAAGCTCATGGAGTTGTAGGACAAGGAGTAGGTCAACAGATAGGTTCTAAGAGCTTCCTCCTTGATTTTGGATTTTAGCATTTCAAGGACGCCCTCTTTGTTCTTGAGAAGGCGCCAGATGTCAAGGGACTGGATGACCTCGAAGGATTTGGTGAAGTCTCCCTTGGTGAGGGCTCGAGTTGCGGCCATCACGTGGTCCCTGACGTTCTCAGGAGGGCCGGTGAAAGTCTGCCTCTCGCTAATATCGAGAAGACGCCTGAATGTCTTGCTGATGAGTCGGCGCCTGGAGTCATGGGTGTTGGCTGCCATGTTCGGGACCTCGAGGAGCATGGCGCAGATGAGGTGCACAGCTTCTAGAAGCTCGAGATTGATGTGCATGTGGTATGGCATCTGGCGTCGTCTTTCCAACCTCTCCTGTTAGTATATCAATTATTCACAGCAATATGCATCAGTTGAGGACATGCATGAAAATAATAAGACAGCAGAAAAAGAACATGTAAATGACGATTTTCCACAGTTGACCTTTCCATAAAGAGTACGACACTGCTATATACTGTTCACTAACCATCAAACTGGACCAAAAAAAAAAAACTGAAGAGAATTGAAGCTTACCTAGTACATGAAAGAATGTGAGAACTCAGTTACGAATTTATGATTTAATGTACCACAGTATGATGGTTAATCCAACTATTCAGCTTATTGACATATCCAACCTGGATATCCTCTAAAACTACATTACTAAACTACCATTTCTATGAGCAGACAAGTACCAGAAATAAGGTCATGGAGTTTCAGTTTTTATGGGCAATTGAACAAAGCCTACCTATTTCCAGGTAATAAAGGCATCTAGGTTCAAATCCAGAAAGTGCTAGGCGATTTTCATCCTCCATAACTACTTATGTTATGGAGGGCTCAAGAAAGCTGCTCCCTTTAATTCCAACAAACAAAAAAAGCAATAGTTACCAACATACATCAAACTCGGATTATCTCAATAGACAAGGCGGTTCTCAATCAATTACTTATGTTATTAGCTACACGGTTCCATGTAAACATCAGGCTTCAGCAACAAACATCGAGCAAGATGAAACAGTAAGAGAATAAGCAAGACTTTCATAGGGACAAGTAAAACACAATGTAAAGTTACCTGTTCTGGGGTCTTCTCATGATATCGGCTTTGGGATACACCTTGAGCAAGCAACTCTTTCACCCTTCCACCAGAATATAGTTCCGAGAGGCAACCATGTCCTTCAGTGATCAGCCCAACTCTAAATGCACATAAACCAAGCTGTGCCATGGCCCTATTGAAAAGGATCTGAGTAGAAATGTCCAGATGCTGAATGTTATCCTGCAAGTGACTCATCAACAACAGGTCACGAGCAATGGAGAACTCATCAAGTAGAGCATGGTGATATATATCACAAAGCATTGCTCGGGCTTTTGTCCTGTCATCTCCATGTTTGTATATGAGAGACACCAACATGTCCATCATTGTTCTGCTGCTCTCGGGAAAAGTGGGTTTCCGAGCCACAACCTCAGGAACAACAACAAATGCAGGTGGGCCTCTACTCTCTTCCGCCTTTTCGTCACCATTGTCTCCACCTTCAGTTTGTTCAGACAGCTTCCTCATAGCATCATAAACTTCCTGTGGTTTGTAGTACACAAGCTCAACCCGCCTCAAAGCAACCTTTGCTGCTGCTTTATAATCCCCACCTCGCTCAAGATACTCCTGGACATTTTGAGCAAGAACCAAAAACATAGGCTCATCCTGCAGCCTATCAACATACTCACGAGTATGAGGGTCAGTGGACTGCAAGCTCTTGAAAAACTCGACATCAATTCTTTCAAGGAAGGCCACCAAATTTCCCCAAACACGAACAGGACCCTCATGGTCTGCTCCCTTCTGTGTTTCATTCTCTTCCGGCTCAACCATATCATCGACAACAATGTTCCTATGCTGGAAAACTATATCGAGGATAACCAACATGTTCACCACACATTTTTTCCACACATTGATAGGCATGTGACCGTTAAGCCCTGGATTCACATCAAACTGAGCAGACACAACACTGAAGAGAATCTCAAGTTTCTGGGCAGGTGTCTTGGCAACCTTGGTCAAGAAAGTTAACTGCTCAACCTGCTCAAACCTTCCAGTGCCCTTCCTACCACGAGCTGCAACAACTTCTTTAAATTTCTTGTTCACCACATCCCAAGAAATTTCACTAGGGTCCTTCATGAATTGCTTATCCATGAGCTTCTCCTTCTTGCTCATCATCTTCTCCCAGCCGCCTTCGCCCTCAGCTTGGTCGTCGTCCTTCCCATCATCTTCCTCTTCATCCTCATCGGACATCGCATTGACATCCTCAGCAAATGTGTCGGACTCGTCGTCATCAGCATCTTCGTCCTCATCATCATCAGCCTCCTCCTCACTCTCAGGCTTCTCCCTATACTTATTAATGAGCTCCTCATACTGCTTATTGTTCTTCTTAAGCTTCTGCTTCATAGAGTTCAATGCCTTCGCATTACTGGTACTCATCTTCTTCTTGGCCTCCTTATTCGCCATGGCCTGATTCAAGAAATCCTCCAGCATCACCAGGGACTTAATGTAGAGGTTCGGGACCTTCACCGCTTCCGTCACCCGCATGACTTTCTCCAGCTGCTTGTTAATCTTGTCGAAGCTCTCCAGCAAGCTCACCCAGTCGTTAATCTTCATCGCGTTCTTGATCTGCTCGAGAGTAGACGTCATCTCGTCGAATCGTTTGTCCTTGGCCGACTTAACCACACGCTTCTGGCCATCATCATCGTCGCTGTCGGTATCGGTTGCCCTGAGATACCGATTCTTCGCGTCGGCGGCCGATGGATCTCCGCCGGCGTCTTCGATTTCGTCTTCGTACTCGCTCTGCTCCTCTTCCTCATCGGAATCAGAAGCACCGGCCTACGCAACAACAACAACCACCGCACGAATCAGATTGAGAACGGAAGGGGAACAAAAATTTCAGAGAGAGAAAATATCTGTAAGAGTGACGAACCTGAGTCCAGAACTTGGAAGCCATGTTCGTCGATCAATTGAAGCAGCAAGAACCAATGGCACAATCGGCGGCGGCAGCGAAGTGAGAAAATTTTCTCAAAGAAATGGACCAGATCGAGTTATCGCCGCACAACAGAAGAGATGTAACCTAAACTCAGGTTTTAGGGTTTTGAAATCGTACGGTTCAGTTTTTTTTTATTTGCCCGCTTTTCTTATCCTTTTTTCCTACCAAAAAGGTAAAAAAAAAATATATATATATATATATACATATACCTTATCCATGGATCACTAATTCGTAGAATGACTTGGGCCTTCAAAAAGGGGCCCATTTTGTCACTTCTGGTTCGGTTGTGTGGGCCAAAAGCCCTCCCGACTAGCAACTAGCAAGTAGCAACTGGCTTGGAAGTACCTGCAGTTTTTGAGTTCCACAACGGAGAACGGCAATTATCTCCAGGCGCGGAGCCGTTCCTCCTCCGGCTGCCGACGGCGGACAAACCATTGAACTATTGGCAGCCAGAAACAGCCCAGATGCCCATCGGAAGTATTTCTTCCCCCTTTTTTCTGAGATAAACAGCTGAAGCATGCTTGGACAGTGGTGAAATCTCCCCTCGAAAGAACTCGTCATTGCAAGCGAGCTCACTCAGCCTGGTAAATCCTCAACTTCCCATTTTCCTTTTGATGTTGGTTAAGTATAAGCTCTGAATATTCTCAAGGATTATGCGTCCCTTTTTAATAAACAGGGGGGGAAAGAAAACATGGCAATTTCCTTCACATGGTTGTCAAGCTATCGCCTTTCCTGCAATTCACCTATGAACATATCCAGTTGATTCGTGAAGTAGAGGGGAGATGCTAATTGGTGCTTGATTTTTCTCTGATTGGTTCCTATCAAGCATCCAACTTTTCTACACGAACTCAAGGAAATGAGCTTATGGCGAAAGGCGAACAATCTTCGCTCTATTGGAGGAATCGAGGGAGAGCGCCCGTCTTTTTCCAAACTCACCCGCTTGCTTCAACTGTGCAGCAACTCCAAATCTCTGAATCAAGGCCAACAAATTCATCAGCATGTCATTGCATTGGGGTCTAGTGGTAACCCGTTCGTGGTGACTAAGCTGATCCAAATGTACGCGGATTGTGATGATCTGTGTTCTTCAAGGAAGCTGTTTGATTTATTTCCAAACCCAAATGTATTTGCTTGGACAGCGATTCTCGGGTTCTTCTCAAGGCATGGTATGTACGAGGACTGCTTGGTGAATTATCGGTTGATGAAGTCTCAAGGAGTCTCTGCGGATCACTTAGTGTTCCCAAAAGTTCTGAAAGCTTGTGCTCAGTTGGCGTGGTTGGATGGAGGGATGTGGGCCCATGGAGGTGTGGTTGTTTCTGGCTACGAGCGGAACTTTCATGTGTGCAATGCTTTGATCGACATGTATGCAAAGTGTGGAAATGTGTTGAGTGGGAGGTTGGTTTTTGCAGAGATGGGAGAAAGAGATTTGTTTACTTGGAATTCAATGATTTCTGGGTACATTAGTAATGGGTTGCTAGATTCAGCTGTGCAGCTTTTTGGTGGTTTGAAGTTGGAGGGTGTTAAGCCTGACGTCATTACATTTAACATGTTGATGGATGCTTATTTCCGAATGGGGCTTTGTGATGAAGCTTCAAAAGTTTTTGAACAGATTGAAACCCCCGATATCATTTCATGGACCACTCTAATATCTGGTTATTCTCGAGCTGGCAAGTATGCCACATGTTTGGTAATTTTCAAGGACATGGCGAATGAAGGGGGGATGTTTCCTGATGTAGATTCCCTTTCACTTGTCCTTGTTTCGTGTCGCCATCTGTGTGCTTTAATGTGTGGGAAGGCAATCCATGGTTATGGTATCAAAACTCAACAACCTGGGGGGAGATTTTACAGATCAGCTGGTCCAGCTTTAATGACAATGTATGCTAAATGTGACTCAGTTCATCATGCTAGAACTGTGTTTGCACAAATGGACAAATCAGACGTTGTTGCCTGGAACGCTATGATTTTGGCCTTTGTAGAATCTGAGTCAAGGGATTTAGCACTCGAATGCTTTGGTGAGATGCAGAGATCAGATATCCAGAATGATCAGACAACCATATCTACTGTTTTACCAGTTTGTGATTTGAAACATGGAAAGCAGATTCATGCCTATGCCATGAAACACATTTTCGATCATTGTGTTGCAGTTTGGAATTCAGTCATACACATGTATTCCACGTGTGGGAAAGTTGACACCGCATACTCAGTGTTTACAACATCGAAAATCCGAGATTTAGTAACATGGAACGCAATGATCAGAGGATTTGGCATGCATGGGCTTGCACAAGCTGCTTTGAATCTTCTTCAGGACATGAAGCGGGTGGGAGTTTGTGCTGATGCTCTCACATTTACTTCGGTTCTATCAGCCTGTCATCATTCAGGCCTTGTAGAAGAGGGCATTAAACTCTTCGAGAGCATGACCGGAGAATATGGATTTGTCCCCACAATGGAACATTACTCATGTATTGTCAACATGCTAGCACGTGTAGGTAGGCTAGAAGCTGCCATCAATTTCATTCATCAAATGCCCCTGGAGCCTGATAAGTCTGTTTGGGGGGCCTTACTGGCAGCCTGCCTTGACCAGCAAAATGTAGAAGTTGGAAAGCTTGCTGCTGAGAAGTTAATCCACCTGGAACCCGAACGTGCAGGACATTATGTGGCTTTGTCTAATATATACGCAGAAGCTGGTAGATGGGATGATGCTGTAAAGGCAAGAAAGGAAATGGAACGCAGAGGGTCGGTTAAGCCCTCGGGGCAGAGTTGGATAACTTTCGGGAACTGAAGTTAACTTCAGTGATTGGTTATCCGTGACAGCTTGACCACAATTCATGGAGGAAATTCTGTTTCTGCTGCAGCTTTTCCATGAAATGAAAACGCAATGAAGTGTATTAAGCTGTTATCCAAGAATATCCTGCCACATCAGGTAATGAGGTGAGCATTGACGAAAATGATTTAGGGTAATAATTCATACATATAGTACCTGGACTGGCATATGAAATAGTGGCATGAGTTATAGAGGTAGCTAAAGACTGCACAACCTAATCAAACAAAATTATCAGGCATGTCCTTGTTTAGTAGTAATGCAGAAAAATTTAACACTTAAACTTGTGAAATGAATCAAAATGCTAAAGCCAACAGCCACCTTTGAATCTTCTGCCCTCCCTTGACCAATTATAATTTCGCAGGTTCTTGAAATATTGACGGCTGTTATAATATACTTCATTTAAGGGCTTTCGGACAAGCTCCCTTCCGATCAGCACAAGACTGTTGCTGCTATGGGTTCATTGAAAGACTTGGAACAAGCGAAGGATGGTAGAAAACTGCTTGCAGAACAAGATGTATCCCGTGCACACTAGAATGGTGCAGTTCGTATGTTTATGCTGGGATTCCTCAGTGTGTATCTGTCTGCTTATGCCTGGGTTCATTTCTTAAGATAAGATGATTACACTTGAAGCCTGCTTTCTTCTTGTTATTGAACAGTGTTCTCTCTTATCTGCAATGTAGGTTCATGTGATGAAGGAACACCTCAAAAGAAAATCCAGCACTGAAGGAGAACAGGGACATATTTCTTTCTGAAGTATGCTGCCTGTGTCCTACAAGGTAATCATAAAACGTAACTCCATGATATGACAAGTTAACATCCTATTCTGGGTGATATTGTTCAGAATAAGATTTCGTCCCTGGAACGGTTCCTATATACACTGGCTGATGACCCTTCCTAATTTTGCAGAAGTAGGAGACAGATCGCTGCAAAAGAGAGATTAGTGGTAGAATGATAATGTAGAGGAAGGTATAGCAGTATCATAAAGAGAACAATTGAAGAAAACGCAACAGCAAGCTAGGGGAATCTGGCCTCTCTGAACTGCTGATTTCGTCGAATTTTTATGACCAAATTCGCCTGCAACATTGGATCCCATGCTCAAGCCATGTCACAAAACAGCAATTCCCAAATACTTGTTGATCCAGTCTTCCACTTGATGTTGCAAACACGAAACTCAAGCTAGAATACAGAACAGCAATTCTCAAATACTTGTTGATTTTGCTCCTTTTGGGTCCTTGAGAAATTTATGTTGACAGATTATGTTAATGTACACAAGCACGTAACAGAAGCCATAATTAGGTACCATGTCCAAGCAAATCCATCAACTTCCTTCTTCAATTCCATCCCAATGGTACAATAATAGTAAATCGAAATGAGAAACAGTTAGCCTAACCGATCATGAGCTAATGACTATGAATTTCCTACTAAAATACCTAGAAGAAAATGCCAAAAGAAAGCAAATAAATACCACCCTACCCCAATACCAAGGTCTGTGAAAATTTGATGCGACAACCATAGAGAAGTATCCTAGTCCTAGAACTCCATTTTCAAGGCAGGATTCGAAAGATCCGACACCACCAAGCTGTCTAATCCTGCGAAATCTTCCGGCAACCCATGCTGCAACCAATCCTTAGTACACACAAGCGCCTCCAAAGTCTCTGACCTTGCATGCGGGCTCAGCTCCCTTGGCCTGGTACTGTACACCAATTCGGGCGAGGCAGTTGACACAGGTATGCTCAAGATATCCCTCGCCATCTTCGACAGCGTCGGGTACTTCGACCTTTTCTGTTTCCACCATTCCAGCAGGTCGAAATTGGAGCTCCGCCCCTCGAGGTTCTCGTCCAGATACTGGTCCATCTCCGACTTCAACTGATGGCTTGTCGTCTCCATGATGTACATATCAAAATCTGCCAGCCCGTATTCAGAAAGATTGCCTCCCTGGTTTTGCTCGTCCGCTCGATCAACATTCCCATGATCGACACTGTAAGCTGGCGATGGCGGTAGAGGAAGCGTTAGGTATTCGTCGAAGAGCTCGTGGAGCCCATCATCCACCATCTTAACGTAGAGAGGAGACTCCTCTCCGAAGAGTTTGGAGAAGCTGAATTCCACGAGCTTCATTTTGAAGCGTGGATCCATGACTACAGAAATCGCGAGAACTAACCCACATTCCTTCCAGTACTTCTCTATCTTGTCCTGCATCGGTTTGATGAAGCTGCAGACGAACGGGTCGCCACTGGTTGCTGCACAAGCAATCTTAGCGTGGATGCTAAACGCCTCCTGGAACAGTGTGATTGCAGGAGGGCAAGGGGAAGAGACGAGCAAGTTCATTGCATCGGAGAGAGACTTCAAGTACGTGCAGATGCTTTCAACCTGCTTCCAATCTTCCATGTTCGGAGCTAGTTTGTATTCAGGAATAACATTGTCCAAGCAAGAGAAGACTTCTTTTAGATCTGAAGCAGACACTAGCATTTGATAAGTCGTGTTCCACTGACTCTGGTCGTCAAGGAACAAACGTACCTCGCCGGGGACCTGAAGCTGCCGCTTGAGATCAACGAAAATGTCCACGTGGTTCTGCGAAGTGGTGACGTACTTCATGTTGTCACGGATCTTCTTAATGATGTCACGTCCCGCAGACAGCATGTCATTGACCATGGCGGTGAAAGTCTGTGAGATGCATTGCCCGAGCAAGAGCTGACCGTTGAGTATGAGTGGATTCTTGACGCATAGATGAGACCGGAGATTCTCCAGCCCTGCTTCAGGCACTGGATGGTTCAATGTGAGGGAAAAGAGCCTGCTTTCTAACCTCCAGTCGGAGAGACAACAAGCAACGGCATGGCTGAGGGCATTATGCGAATCAGGATATGGTTCGAGGACAACATTGAGAATCAACTTTTGGGTCTTCCAATTGCTGTCGGTGAAGTGGCCCGTTATGAACACGTAACCCACGCTGTTTCTCGACATGTACATGTCAAGAGAAAGGCAGACTCGCCCTGGCATCGCATCAATCAACCTCGTCACCTTTTGCTTCTCACTCAAGTAAGATGCGACGCATTCTCCATGGATGGTCTTGAAGCTGACTGCACCAAACTGTGGCTGAAGACTCTGGACGAAACTTTGAAACCCAGGATGCTCGACCATGTCAAGAGGGTAATCGTGCATGATGATCATTCGAGCAATGTCATGGCGGCAGATATCAGGATTGAACACCGCCGTGTAGGCAGGAGATCTGTAGCGGCGCTTTCTCGACTCGCTGACCCCTGTACTTGCACCAGACGCACTATTGGCTTTGGTCCGACGAGTCCTGGTTGAAGGAGTAAAAGGAGTAGTCTGATCACCATCGCCTTCGTTATTGTTATCGAGCCCTGTTGTGGCTCCACAGGTTCCCTTCTCGAGATGGCGCTTGAGGTGGCTAGTACCGGCTACTTTCGTGCTGCCATTCTCTTGTACCGTGCTGTAAGCAAAGCTCCTCCTGCAGGTGTTGCAGAACGCCCTTTTGCACTCCGAGCTGACGCTCTCGACTGTGAAGTAATTCCAGACACGGGACTTTGTCTTCCTTCGCCTTGCTGGCTTAACATTCTTGTCCACGGGTGTCAGCTCATACTTCTCTTCGGGGATTTCCATCTTTTCTCCAAAGCCACTTTCACTGGCCAATCAATCAAGCAACACCAAAAAACCAGAAAAACATTAGCACGTATTTAAAACACCAGAACAATAATATTGAACACCTGATAAACAACCAAGGAAAAGAGATTCCGATGCATCCATGGAAGGAACAGTATGGTACTACTTACTAGTTACTACTTAGGCCTGTCTAAGAGTGGAGAGCAAACAGAGAGAAAGCTATAGACTTTTGCTATACAACTCGACAATAGATGGGCCTTTGGAATGTTATGTCTATGAGACTATGTCTTATCAGGTAGGCCCATAATTGACGAGTTTTAGCAATCGAGTCGTCGACCCAGCTCAGTGAATAGCACTACAACACCATATAAACGTAGAAGAAGGCAATAGCGGCAACTTCACACACCGCCCTCATGCCTCCCGACGCCGAAACCCAAAAACAAATCCCTGAAAGTCGAGTCGCCGGGGAAGCAAATATGCGGACGACGAGTACCAAAGAAAAAACCCACAAAAACATCGGCATCCCCAAACAATTTTGAATAGCCGAATAGAACAACCAAGAAGGAAGCCAATAAGACTCCCCGGAAAACGCCAGGAACTCCCGCCCAGAGAGCTTTCCCGCAACGAATACGAAAAACATAAAGCGCGAAGAAATAAGGCAGCGCAACAATCAATTGAAGATACAGCGAACACAGAGAAAAGGGAAGCGCGAGAAGCTAGGGGGGAGCAAATAAGACAACAAAATTAGGGTTTAGGGATTTTTACCTGCGAAGAGAGAGAGAGAGAGAGAGAGAGGACTTGACGAGGAGTCACGGCAGGCGAGGTCCGATCAGATAAGAGGGGGGCGAAGCTCGGCGGCCGAGCTCCGGCGAACTATGGCGGGGTTGGATCTAGGGTTTTTGTCGCAGAGGCCCGCGAGGCGTAGAGCGAGAGAGGGACGAGACCGACGGTGTAGAGAGAGAGAGAGGGATTTTGGGCTTGGGGCGAGCGGCTTATTGGACCAGGGATAATAAAAGGGGCGAGTTCGGGTTTTTTTTTCTTTTGGGTAAAAAATCTTTTTGATTTTTGGACTTTGGAGCGGTCCAACTAATCACTCTCTATTTATGTATAAACGGAGCGGAGAAGGAAGTATCCTCTCCGATATTGATACTGTAACCGGCCCAGGGAAGCCCAAGCGAGGATGTAACGGTGCCGTTTAGTTTGTGAACCGGTCAGGTTTGGTTTGGTTTGGTTTGGTTTGATTAGCATGGTGGATCCAGTGTTTTGTTGCTAAATCGTCTATCAAAAATGAAGCCGGTATAAGATTTTACTTTATTGTTGTAGCTGCAAACACGCATATCATGTCATCTCGTACTTGGAAATACAAAATTAATATAGGTCTTACTCGATCTATAGTATAAGCGAGGAAAGTTCTTCCTTACATGAGGTCTCAGGGGAATTAGCTAGACATCGCAATCCTACCTCCTTGAGATTGATTCTACTTTATGAGTAATTTTGCCTGTGCCATCAAGTTGGAGATCGAAGCTAATTGCAACACAGCAAAAGCAAGACCGACAGCGACAGATAAAATCCAAAAGAGATTGAGGTTTACCTTAATCATCTCATCTAAGATCATTGATATTTGCTTCTTAAGACATCTTACTCTTCAGGATCCTTCGAAATATCTGTTGGAAGCAACGTAGTAAAAATCGCAGTTTAAAATTTAAAAACCTATGCTTTTATACTTTTAGTTCACCAAAAATGCTTCTAGTAAAATATTACTTTTAAAATTTACACTTTAAAGCTTAAACTATTACGTTTTTACAAATCCACATAGAAATTGCAATTTTGAATGGATTGATTGGAAGATTATGAATGCATAAAGTGGTAAATGTTACGTGTGCCCACCGACGCACCGACGCGACGGTTACAAGTCCGGGGCTGTGTGGCAATACCAACAGGCGACGATTCAACTAAATATTCCTATCTATTCAATATCCTTCATTGTTATTAGTAATATTTATTTGTTTTCTTTTGATAATTATCCTCCTACAATTATTAGTTTTATTTGTATTATTATTTATTTGTTCTTTTTTCAATTTTAATTTCTCTATGTATTGCATCGTTTTTCATCTATTATTCCAACCATTTTTTTTAGTCATATCTCAAGTTTAGGTTTGTTCATAAAAAAAAGTTTAGGTTTGTAACCTTTTATTAAAAAAAAAGTTTAGGTTCGTAATCGGCGCCGATTATCTAGAGTTTCCCGATGGCCTGGTTCACTATTTCAAGGGAGAAAAGGTGCCTTGTGTCCATGTTGTCCTGTTGGCTCATTGGTCGGGATTGTCCTTGTAGTTGTAGGGGCCTTTTTGTTTGCTCATTTTGCAGGTGAAGTTTCAATTGCAAAATAATCATTTGGTGGAGACTCTGTCCTTTCCACTAGATGGCCTTTTGATGAGATTTGATGGAGCACTAGTGCGAAATAGGGGGAGGCAACATTGGCATTGTGGTGTTGTTGATGTTGTACCGGTTTTTTGAATGTTACCATGTAGGTTATTCTTTTGAGTCGTGCTTCTCGAGCGGATCAAGCTGACGCCATACTTTTTCTAGGAACTAACAGAGCTGCCCATTTCGTGGCAAAAAATGCTCTTTCATCGACAGTTCAATTAGTATTGACTATCGCTTTTATTTTTCAATCTTTGTAATCAACTATCTATTACTATATTTTCATATTTCCCCCTCTACAAATTATCCAATGAGTGAACAAACGAATGAGCCTAACCGATCTTGAACTAAGAACAATGAATCTCCTACTGAAATCGACTAGAGCAAAACTGTCAAAACTAAAAAAAAAAAAAAAAAAAAAAAAAACACCCTCTAGATAGGACCTGTAAGAAAAAACTTGACAGAAACCACAAAACAGTATCCTAGTCCCAGAAACTCCAATTTCAAGCAGTAGACACAGGAATGCTCAAGATATCCAGCGCCATCTTCGACAGCGTCGGGTACCTCACCCTCACACTGTCCCGATTCCACCATTCCACCACGTCGAAATCGGAGCTCCGATCCTCGAGCCACTCGTCCAGATACCGGTCCAACTCCGACTTGAACCGCTGCTGGCTCGTCGTCGTCGTATCCATGATGAACACATCAAAATCCGCCAGCCCGTGCTCCGAAACACTCCCTCCCTGACTGCAGCCGTAATTAGATGTGGATGGAGGTGGTGGAGAAAGCGAAAGGTACTCAGCAAAGAGCTCATGAACCCCATCATCGACCATCTTCACGTAGACAGAAGACGACTCGTCTCCAAAGATTTTGGGGAAGCTGAACTCCACGAGCTTCATTTTGTAGCGAGGATCCATGACTACAGCAATCGCGAGAGCCACACCACATTGCTTCCAGTACTCCTCCATCTTCCCCTGCATCGGGTCGATGAAGCTGCGGACGAACTGATCGCCGCTGTCTGCAAATTGAGCAATCTGCATGCGGACACACATGGCATTCAGTAACAATGTGGCAGCAGGGCAAGGGGGGGAGGAGGCGAGCGAGTTCGTTGCGTCGACGAGGGACTTCAAGTGGTTGCAGATGATTTCAACTCGATTCCAATCTTCCATGGTTGGAGCATCGGCTTCTCTGTATTCAGGAATGAGAGTGTCCAAGCAGGAGAAGACTTCTTTCGTATCCCAAGCGGATTGCAGCATCTCATACGTCGTGCTCCACTGGCTCGGTTTCTCAAGGAGCAAACCTGCATCCCCGGGGACCTGGAGCTGGACTTTGAGATGGAAGAACATATCCACGCGCCACTCAGAAGTCATGATGTAGGTTATGTTGTCGCGGATCTTCTGAATGATGTCGCGTCCTGCAGAGAGCACGTCGTTCGCCATGGAGGTGAAAGGATGGGGGATGCATTGCCCGAGGAATGGGTGGACGTTGAGGATGTGTGGGTTCTTGATGCAGAGATGAGACAGGCGATTCACGAGACTGTTGATTTCCATCTTTTGTTTTTTTTTTTTTTTTGCAGCAGAAACTGATTCACTGGCCAATCAATCAAACAACACCAAGAAATTAACCAGTTAGAAACTTTGGCACATGATGGACCAGCAAAAGAGAGATGGAGCAAGCTTTGCAGCATCAATGGGAGGAATACTGGAATAGCATGCTACTACTTTGGTCAGTCTAAGAGTGGGGCTTTGGAATGTTATGTCTAGCATGTGTCAAGAAAATTTTCAAGAACAGAGCTTATACCACATACTAATACGCATCTTCACATTCAAATCGGGTTTGAATTTTGCACAATCCGAAAATAAAATCGCAGATTACAAAAGGCTTCACTATTAATCACGAAATAATCCGAACAACTCGAATCGTTCAGAGAAGTTCAAGTATGTAGACTCATCACGGTGAATGTAAAATGCAACACCACATAACTTAGCCCGCCGGAAACGAAAAGCAAAAACAAACAGAGGAAAGATGAGTCGCCGGTGAAGCAAAACGGCGGGAGACAAGAGGGCAAAAGGCGCTAGCCCGGAAAAATCGCAACCCCGAAACCTATCTGATACAAGCCAGAAAACCGCAACCATGAAGGAAGACAAACAGGGTTACCCAGTAACGCATCGCGGAAAACATCATTCAGTTCTCCCGCCAGAGAAATTTCGCGGGAAAAATTCGACGGAAAATTCAACGAATACGAACAATATACAGCGCAAAGAAACTATATAGAAAATAAGGAGAACAGAATTACGGTGAGCGATTGGGATTTTACCTGCGGCGAGAGAGACGGGAGACACAGCAAGCGATGTCCGATCAGGTAAGATGGGGGGAAGCCCGGAGGCCGAGCTCCGGCGATCTCCGCCGGGGTGGATCTAGGGTTTGTATTGCAGAAGCCCGCGAGGCGTACTGCGAGAGACCGGAAGGATTTTGGGCTTGGGGCGAGTGGCTTATTGGACCAGGAAACTGTTTGGACTTTGGAGCGATCCAACTTATATGTGGACTTATATATAATAACCCAAAGGCGTATCGGCCCGTTTCAGTTACGGAGCACAAATCCTTTTCCTCTTATAATTGGGATCAATTAGGTTGGTAAAGAAGCAGAAAGGAAAGGAAGGAAGGAAGCAGAAGCAGAAGCGCAGCAGACAGAACCATCGCCCATCGTCTAATTCCTGCATCCAATCAATCATCTTCTGTTGTGCGAAAGCCCCCATCAGCAGGTCAAATCCTTCTTCTTCCTTCAACTCACAATCCCCAGAATTTCAAATTCTAAAGCTCGAGCATTTTTCCCCTCGGTCTCTTCAGATCAATAACCCTTCTCTTCGCTCTTCGCTTCCTTTTCTCTTACAACAGCTGCAAGCCCTTTCAATTATCGATCTTGCCTCCAAATTCTCCAGTTTTACAGGGTACCCTTCTCTTCTTCCTCGCATATATACTTTAGTTTCTTCAGATGTAATGTGGCTGTTCATTTACGGTTTCTCTCCGTTCAACTCCTACACCGCTGCCCGCTGGTCCAATTGATCTTACTAAAGCTTGCAGCGCTGCAATGTGATATTTCGTTTCATTATTTTGTACTGTTTCTATAGGGATCAATGCCCAATTGTCATGATCTCGGCCTTATGTGTTCTCTCTCAGTAATTGCTAAGATTGTGCTTATAGTTCCAAGAATTGGGTTCCTTTTCGTTAACGCATTTGCTAATGTATGGGGAGGCTATAGATTTGCTTTGCTAGGATGAAGCTCAGTTGAAAAGTTTGCATCTTGTTATATGCTTCTTTATGCTTACATATATGTTCTACTCTTTTCAGCTCTAAAATCTGAGATATTGATATGCATAGCATCGCGAAGAAAGTAGCAGACCAGGCATCTAAGAAACCTACTCTCTCCAAGTCAGAATTTGGATCCTTGTTAATTGCATCATTAAAGTCAAGACGTGGTAGCAGGGTGGCCCTCAGTAAGAAACAAATATCAAAGAAAGTTACTCGTCCTCCAAGTAAGGTGACCAGGAAAGGTGTTAGGTCTAGAAAGTTGGTTCGGGGTAAAAGTGCACGCAAACCACATTATAAAAGGTCCGGGAAGAAGTCAGAACCGTCTACTGCTATCTGTCCTGAGTTGAATGACAAGAATCCTAAGAAGGAGACTGCCAAGAGAAAATTCAAAAGGAGAAGGATAGATGGAAGGCTAAGGAATAATGTAGAGCTAGATGAACCATCACGGTTGCAGAGGAGAACAAGATACTTGATGATTAAAATGAAGATGGAGCAGAACCTTATAGATGCTTACTCTGGTGAAGGATGGAAAGGCCAAAGGTAAGATATTTTCTCTCACATTCCTGTTGATTTTGAGAAACTATAACTAATAACTAAAAGATCAAAGTGTTTCTATGAGATATTAATCTGCTTTAGTGAATTTTTCTGAATATGTATATAAAATGGGTTTTGAAAAATTCGTATCTTATTAAGCTTCTTAAGTTTGTGAAGAAGCTACTTTTCTCAGATGAAGTTCTTTAATAGATCAACACTAACCAGACCAACTTAGGTTTGATTCAGATGCCATTGACACTGTAATCTTTGTTACACCAACTTAGGGTATTAATTGGAAATGATTAAAGGAAAGAAACAACAGACATTTCCTAAGGCACTTCCTCTTTTTATATGAGCTTCACCAATGTATCTGCCTTAAATATTTCGAGTTGAGTTCTGACTCCCTGAAACATACCTGAGAGAATCAAAGTTGGGTATGCTTGTTTTTGGAATATGCAACTGAAAGAAGGGCCTGCTGAAGGGAAACTTATGTGCGCTTAACTCTAACACTAGAAATTCTGCTGCAGTCGAGAGAAGATCAGGCCAGAGAATGAACTACTAAGAGCAAAAAAACAGATTTTGAAGTGCAAACTTGGAATACGGGATGCAATCCACCAACTTGATTTGCTTAGTGCAGTTGGATGTATTGAAGACTCAGTTATGGCCCCAGATGGATCAGTATCCCATGAACATGTAAGCATGCATAATCAGTATCACAAATGGTATATTTCTGTTCATGGCCAGGAGTATCATAAGCTTTGTGCACTCATGTTTTCTTTTACTTATCATGCTCAGATCTTCTGTGCAAAGTGCAAATCAAATGACGTGGTCCCGGATAACGACATTATACTCTGTGATGGGACATGCAATTGTGCCTTCCATCAAATGTGCCTTGAACCTCCACTTCACACCGAAAACAGTAATCTATCCATTGTCGTATACTGTGATTTGAATTTGGATAAAAAGAAAAGGAGTGAGCTTCTTCCTAATGCTTTTGCTCTATCGAGTTCTTGCAGTACCCCCTGGAGACCAAGGATGGTTCTGCAAGTTCTGCGAATGTAGAATGGAAATCATGGACTCAATGAATGCACACCTTGGAACCCAATACTCAACGAGTTGCGAATGGCAGGTTGTTTGAGTGGACAGAAGGACCATAAAATATCTTTCTTTGGGTATTTTCTAACTAAAATATGGGGGTTTTTTTTTTTGCTGAAGTAGGATCTTTTCGAGGAAGAGGCAGCAGCTCCTGATGGTGGGAACATTTTAATTCTTGAAGAGGAATGGCCCTCGGATGACACTGAGGATGAAAATTATGATCCAGAAAGGAGGGAAAATAGCATGAATGGTGCAGGAACGGATAATGATGAGTCGGATATTGCTAGCAGCTCCACTAGCTTGGGTTGGTCTTCAGATGATGAAGCTGTTTCTGGATCCAGAAGATGGGATGTGGAGGGAAAAGAATTCAGAAACCAGTCAATATATAGTAGCTTAGATTCTGATGAATCTAGTGATGTTGAAATCATGAGCGGCCGCAGAAAGCGCAGAGCAGTTGATTATCGGAAATTGTATGACGTGAGTATTATAAATCTTAAAGATTCGGGTAGATCCTTTTGCCTTAGATATAATAGCGGGATATCCACAAAATCCAGAAGGCTTGAAACTTTCTACTTGCTAACATATTCATTTGGACTTCTGCTTGCATTAGGAAATGTTTGGAAAAGATGCTCCTTTAGCTGACCAACTCAGTGAAGATGAAGACTGGGGTCCTAGCAAGAGGAAAAAGAAGGAAAAGGAGTCAGATGCTGCAAGCACGCTTATGACTCTCTACAAACGTAAAAAACAAGCAAAAAAGGATGAGACTTTGGAAGGAAAAAAGGACCTTCCTAAAGAATCTCGAGTTCGAAGGGCACTATCGAGAATTCCACCTAGTGCAGTTGAGGTACCAACATTCCGTCCCTTGTTGCCTTTTTCCCCGGTTCTGATTCTTAGTTTTGCTGAAATGTCATGTCAACATTTTGCACTCTGGCAGAAATTAAGGCGGGTTTTTGAGGAAAATGAACTTCCCTGTGGAACAGTTAAACATAAGCTTTCAGAAGAGCTAGGTCTTGAACCTGGAAAGGTATGAACAAACCAATGCATTGAAGTTATGTATGGGATTGGCATTGATGGTGATACCCAACTGAGTGGACTAAATAGTTCTTACTGTTATTTACTCCTTCCCCCCTACTGATTTTCACCGCTTGGAGTTGCAATTCCAGGTCAGCAAATGGTTCAAGAACGCAAGGTACCTGGCATTGAGATCCAGAAAGGTGAGTTGGTGCTTGATTTTGCCAACAGATTTCCTATGGTGTACCTTCTGTTCTCAAAACCTTGGAGCTTACTGGTGATTCTTTTATGTCAAATGGACAAAACACCAACAGTGCAGTGATTTCAACCCTAAGCTGTCTGGTGAAGCAACAGAAAACGAAAATAAGAGTGGAGGCGCTGAAGTTTCAGATGCCGTAACTGAAGTCGGGCTACAGACAAAAAGGACTTCAAAAGATGTATTCGCAAAGAAGAAGCTAAGATCTAATTGCGGGCTGAAGGAAAATGATCCAAAAGAAGTTTCCCTTGAATCACAGGCAGGAAATAGTGAGGTATTGCTGAAAAAGCATTTCAGCAAGTGTGATCTAGGACATCATAATTCAAGAATCCACTGGAATCAAGCTGTCAGCTATATAACCCTTGTTTTGTCTCTCGTGTAACGATTGAAAGAACATTCATTTTCCCTGTTTCACACAGATGGAAGCCCAAAAGGGTGATGATCCGAGCTTGAAGACTCTGCTAGAAGAAAAATCAAGTGCAGGGAAGAAGCATTCCTACTCAAAATATTCGGAGTCCCCGTCTCATCAACTTGCCGAGAGTGAGATGGATAGACTTTGTAGAGCCAAAGACACCCTAGAGAACATGAGGCAGTTTCTGGGGAGTCTACCAATAAGCAAACGTAGGAGGTCCAAGGCGCTTGTTCTTCGAGAGAGGGTGGTTTATGTGCCTACTGCTGGGCTAAAGGAGAAGATTACGACAGTTGGATAAACCTCAGTTAAGCCTTTCAGAGAGCACCTTTTTCTCTATATGCATCTAGGCATCGAAGGTTTTAATTGAAAAATTGACAAAGTTTAGCAAATTATCAGCGAGTATAGCAGTTTGAGATGAGCTACTAACCACTTGTACATTTTATTTACCTAGCATTCCGTCTTTTAGGATATTTTTTAACTCATCAAATATGAAATACATTGTCAACCCTTTTTCTAAAGCTGTGTAACTCTTATGTTCTATATATAACGAAGTGCAAGTTATTGCAATAAACAGATAATTTACACTCAAACTTTCACTTTTGGGGAAGTTGCTATACAAGTGATAGCCATATTACATTCCTTTCAGTCACTCGAGACTCAAAAGACTAGCAAAGAAACAGAAATATCAGAAGCTGTTGATGTCCATCTTGTCCAACACCCGGACTACCAGTTCCTTTTGTTTGTAACTGATCTAAATGCATGGAAAATTAGCTGCAGCTCATCTGTTGAAGCACACCTATGAAAGCCTAAATTACGGCAGAAACTTCTTCATATCAGTTCAAAAGAGATAAGAGAAGCACATCTGCAGAGTCTGGCAGTCTGCCAGTAGAGCAAATGACTGTATAAGGAATACGTCCAACAAGATATGATCACACAATCAGAGTATGATGGCTTCCTTGAGCTAGAGATTGGATTACACAAGGAATGTGCGTACGAGTAGTTACTTCAAATCTGGCTATCTTACAGGAGGCATCCACTCAGGCTATCCTAAATTAGTTCCAACTGCAATTTTTCTTTGACTTCAGCGCTTTGATCAGCATTGTTATGACCGTCATCACATGTATGTACATGAAACTAATCAATTATATATCATTTACCTAAGTATGCATACTACAATACATGAACTACCTGCACCACTTCCCACATACGTTCCTTTCCTTGGCACCATCTCCAGCACGAGAGATATGACTTGTCTGCTTGGAAGCCAATTAGAACGAGTGCGCAAGTTCAGGATCCTTGCTATGCTTCAGATCCCATATAAATGGATGTCCTGTATGAGTTGTATAATGCTTACTTTGAGTATCCTGCTAACAGGAAATACTTAACAGCTAGAGACCAGACTACAGTCCTCCAGTGAAGTAGTGAAGATAAATGAATTCCTTCTGGAAACTCAACAAATTCGTGGTGATCTCTGCAGCTAACATTCATTACATATATATGGAACTATGAATTCTCTTGGCAAGACTTTGGTTAAACAGATGATACTGGAGTTATGTTGTCTAATCTGGAAAACTAGAACTGGTCTAAAGGTAAAAGCAACCATGGTAAAGGAAACCGTACCGGAAGTCATACCGGCTCCGCCAGTGGTAGGGTATTTTGTGGTACTACCGTGGTTCAACCGTTGTGTACCGGCAAAATACCGTTTTGTAATTAAATAATATTTTTTTGTTAAAAAACCGTACCGGCAGATTTGTGATACCGTTTCGGAATAATACCGGAATATACCGGATAACAAACCTAAATAAACTAAATAAGCATATGTAATATAAAATTCAACAAACTGCAACATTACTGAATTAACTACATAATCGTTCAAATGCTGTTGACTGCAACATTACTGAATTAACTACATATTCAGAGCGTAGAGAGAGCGTCATTATTATATTATAATTAATTTTTTATTTTAATATAACTATAAAATATTATGCAATATAATAATTAAAATACACGAATATAATGTAATGACTGACTGATTTATAATCTAATTTTTAAGTAACATATTAGTAATTACATTTAAGATAAATATATATTTAGCATTAAATAAATTCCTAAACCTAAATCACCATTCCCCACCACACGTGAACCCCCATTTTCCCTTTTGTTTCTTCCGGGCCGCTACTCTCTCTCTCTCTCTCTCTCTCTCATCAATAACCAGAAGAAATCGTTCCCCCCTCTCTGGGCTTGGGGGAGCTTGTAGCTGCATGTGATTGATCGAAGCTTTAGCCTTCCCGGTACCCATATCCAAAGTCGAGCTTTATCCTCTTCTTCTCTATTGTGATTGTGAATTGGAAATTCTTTCAATCCAATTCCAAACCCACTTGTGAATCCCCCTTCACTTTCTTCGTTTTATCTGCTTCCCAAATCGATGGTCCTGGTTTCGCTTTCGATCACCCCGAAGAAATTGCTCAACAGGAAATCATCATCAACAACAACTGGTAGCTTCACAGATCCCGTCGACCTCCTTTGCGTCTCCGCCGATCTCCCCTGTTTCCACCAGCCAGTTGAAGTCTCCGACCTATAGCTTCTCGATCGCCGCTCAACTCTTCCCAGCAGCTTACCCCCGGTTAGACCAAAACCGGGCGGTTTTTTGAATTAAACCGGTTTTACCTGAAAAACCTCCCGGAACGGCTCCTTTACTACAAAACGGCTACCGTACCGGCCAGGCGCCGGTTTCCGGTTTTACCGGTTCAACCGGCCGGTACTATCCGGTTTCCTTTACTATGAAAGCAACATAGAAAGAAAAAGGTACAGTAGAAATTGATTTTCATTCCATCAGGACGTGCATAAGAAACATGGAAACCGCAAGAAACTTATATCCCTTGAAGCAATCGACCAACAAATTTAATGCATTCTAAACCATCATATCTGGTAATCTATTTATCTTAGCTTCATTCCAGTTAAAAAGGTGAAAAAACATCATATCTGGTAATCTATTTATCTTAGCTTCATTCCAGTTAAAAAGGTGAAAAAAGAAGAAAAAAATGGTTCCCTTGTGTTATAAACGCGCTGCTACGGATCGGGAAATCGCAGGAATCGACAAAGCAAGAATACGAAAGCGTGAATCGAAAACACGACACACGATTTACGTGGTTCACTAACACGATGTGTGTTAGCTACGTCCACGGGCGAGAAAGAGTCTGTTTCACTGTATCGAGGAGATTACAGATTACAGAGGAGTATGAGAAGTATTTATAGTACTTCTCCATGTGGGTCTAAACCTAATCCAATCTGGCAAAGGAAACGGTTACAGACCAGGCCCATAACCCGAACCCAAATAACATTGAGCCCATCCCAATTACCAGTCGTAACGGCTGATAGTCCGATTCAAGTCACATCAACACCTTGCATACATAGGCATACATAGGACAGGCATTATGGCCTCACTTTCCCTTGTGATTGAAAAATCAGACATGATACATTCTACAAAACTGCACCGACCAGTCTGGAACTTCAGCTTGAAACCTTTTACCAACATGAACACGGCTAGCATATGGCTCATCATCACTCAGCATCATGTCAACAGGACCCGATCCACTTGCAGACACAGATCTCAAAGATCCACTCACTCCATGGATAGTATAAGCACATTCACTCGCTTCCTTCCACACCTTTGGTTTCTTCTGCTTCAAACAGGAATAACAAAACCACTCATCGACAGGGACTACGCTTATTTTAGGACTGATGCAAGACAAGTGAAATGCCGCCTCACAATCATCACAAAGCAGCATCCTTTTTGTGGAATCTGAACGAGAACAAACCCTGCACCGCCTACAAGCCATGCCACCAATTCGCATTCCGGACGTAGGAGCCCCTACAAGAATCGAAATGCAATATCCCTATCAGATGCAGAGGAAGAAGAGCACTCAGCTGTATCATCTTCCATTTCTTTACCCATCCACACCGAATTGAACTCCACATTCGATCTTGATGGTGACGAAGAGCAACTATCATTCACACTGTGACTCAGTGAAGAAGGGGAAGGGTGCTTACCCCTTTTCACTTTTCTTCTATTGCAGACAAGCATAGGGGATGGGTGGGAAAGCTTTGTAGACAAGTTTAGGGGCTGTAATGTTAGATACATCGGTGATGGTTGATCGTTTTAAGAGCTTCCTTCTTTTGTAGCAAAGCACAGGCGCGGTAATCTCAGATACATCAGTGCTGGTTGATGGCTGTGAAAGCTTCCTTCTTTTGTTGACATGCATAGGCGCTGTAACCTCAGCCACATTGGTGCTGGTTAATGGTTGTGAAGGCTTCCTTCTCTTATACACATGCATAGGCGTTGTAATCTCAGAGGCAATAGCAATGGTTGATGGTTGAGAAAGCTTCCTTTTCTCGTAGACAAGCATAGGGGAATCTCAGATACATTGGTGATGATCGATGGTCTCTGTTGTTGGGTTAGATCCTCTTCGTTCGATTGTACTGCTGTGGAGCTTGTTTGTGGAAATTACCATGTCGATTTAGGGCAAAACCAATTCACAGAAGCCGCAGGCAATCCCATTCACGAATAATCAAAGACGGGCTGGGAAAAGTACGAGCGGAGTTAAAGCAGGAGGGGGTTTTAACCCACTCGGCAAGCCGACCAGTTCATGCAATTCCAGGAATTGGGTTTTGAACAGCGGGTAAGAAAGATTCGTCCTTTTGGTTTATGGAGAGAAATTAGATGAGTTGAAACCTTACCTGCTTGAGTTTTGATTGGTTGAAGTTTAAGCAGCAAAGTAAGCAGAAGCTGCACTTACTTTACTGTCCAGCCGGCGCCGGCAGTCATGACTGGCGGGCTACTGTGGCCGCGATGGAGCTTTGATCTCGTGGCCCTTAAATCTTTTCTTTTGTTCTCCCAAAATTGATTTGGGGAAAATAAAACCTAACAAACAAGGTTGTCAAACCGGTTTATACAGTTGTGCCGGTTTGGCAAGTGGAATAGTATGACCGGTGGTATAATCAGTTTGTGCCGGTTCATGCCGGTTTAAAAAAATGTGAAAACAATTAATATCCAATGTATCTAATCATATATAAAACATATTTGTGGACAATTTAGTTACAATCCAACAAATATCATCAACTTTTAACTATTACATTCATAAAATGAATAATAAATTAATTTTTTATTCATTAAATTCATTAAAATGATGTCATTTTACTTAGAATGGTTAAGTCGATCATACCGGTCATACCGGTGGTGTCATGCCGGTTTCATGACCGGCACAGGTTGAACCAGGTTCAACCGGGTGGCATGCCACCGGCATGACAACCATGCTAATAAGTGAATCGTGGTGACACGCGGGAATTGGGAATTTTGGAGCACGAAATTGGATACTCTTGGCGCGAATACCAACAGTAATTTAGCTGACTGAAGTTGCTAATGTTAAAATCGTTGCATTATAATGAATCACTATAATGTAAATGCATGTATTGATACAATGAATGCATTATAACAATACATTGTTTGATTGTTGAGATTCTACTTTATGCATTGATTTACATAAAGTTATTTTATGGGAAAATGTAATATTTACCCTCAACTTTTAGTATAAGACAAAAACTATTGGGATATAAATGAAAAGAAAAAGTTTGACACAAATCTAAAAGCAACAATCACAACTTTTAGTTGAGATTGTATAATGCATCATTTTTTGTGATTATTGGTGGGACCTACCTAAAACAATGCATGCATGGTTTTACATTTTGGCACTTCCAAACATTGTATTGTGCACAATACATGTATTCAACAAACACAATTCTTACAATCACAACTTCCAAACGACCCCTTAATGAATTAACTAGTGAAGTAAATTACTGAAATTTAGATCCTAACAATATTTTTTTTTTTTGTTATGAAACGCTCTCTCCTCTCTCTTTGGTTTCTATTTCTTGGCTAGCCGGAGTCTTCTCGCGGGCCGCGGCGGTGCTCGTGTTGTTTGACGTTAGCGTGCAGAATCAAGGTGTTAGTGGACTCAGATGGAATGGTGTAAGTGTTCACAATGAAGGATCAGATATTGATCTGGGGATGCGAGTGCCATGGTCGATCTCTCCCAACAATGGAATATGGGATCGTGTTCATAGCTCCCAAAAGAAAAGAAAACGAAGATCAAGATGTTGGATCACTAGGAAAAAAAGGAAGCTCGTATGCTTCTAGGAAACTCAATTGCTAGCCTCCTGTCAAAATAAACGATCAAAGGTATCGAAAATTGAGGTGTGGCGTTCTAAGCTACCCTCCTCGACAAGCCTGGAAGGAGAAGAGGATGAAACATACCACTCTCCTCTTGTCGGGGACGTTCTCCCCAGCGGCAGCGACGGTAATAGCCTTGTGACGTCAACCCTAGAAACGTGTGGGTCTGGCTAAAGTTTTTGAACTTCCGACATCGGCCGGTGTTGGTCCATTGTCAATCCTCTCGTGACGACCGGAGAAACGATCGTCGAGGCATACCGGCAGGAGAAGTGTGGATCCGGTTGTTCGGAGAATCCTGACACTTAATCTCGGGCCCGGATTCGGTGCGATTCTCTCCCCTCCAATCGTTTTTAAGAAAAAGACTTTTATTCAAAGTCAGAATCTTAATCCCTTACGTACCTCTCGTAACCGAACCCCAACCTCCGATCTCCTATTTGGGTGGCAGCTCGACTCTTGGGCTTATTTAATCTCATCCCCTCAACAACATACTCTTGTAACCAGAAAAACAAAGAGTGTGTTTGTCGACGACAGAGAGTAGCCTCGTCCACATGCAGTAGTCGTCCAATTTAGGTTTGTAGTTGTCTTTCCACATAGGGTCACCCCGACCTAATAATAATGACCTCCTTTTGTTTAAAGCATTGCCGTTGTATTTACCTAATTCCATAAGTCATGAAGAGAGACAAACATTTGACTCTCAGCACTCTGATGAAGGGCTTCATCAGATTCTAACGACTTAAGTAATTGTTTTCAAGTGACTGCAATGGCTCGTGTACAAGAAGACCAGATTATTCAATTATCTTTGGATGAGGTCCAACCTGCGAGTTTTCAAAGCTCTTGTGCTTTAGTGGGAAGGCTGTTTATGGACATCAAAGCTCTTGTGCTTAAGGACTCGTTGAATGTCCCTTGGCAGGGGAAAGGAAGGATTAGAGTGATGGTGGTGAAGCACAGTTTATTTGAATTCGTGTTGCCAAGTGAGGCATCCAAGAATTGGGTGCTGAAAAGAACACCCTGGATGATAAAAGATAAAATCCTCCACCTCCGTGCATGGACATCTAACATCACGAAGCGAACATTTAATGAACTCGTCATGACTCCCTTTCGTGTCCAAATGTGGGGCATGAAGGAAGATTGATGTACAAAGCAGTTTGGAAGAAAGATGGTGAACAACACAATTGGCCATGTCCTAGAAGCAAGTGTGTTTGCCTGCACGGACACTGACCAATGCTTCGTCAAGGTCAGGGCCCTGATTGATTTTTCCAAGCCGTTGAGATCGCAACTAATGGCCGCTAGTGATGAAACAGGTTGCTTTTGGCTTAACCTAAAGTATGAATACTTGCCCACCTTTTGCTTCCATTGTGGACGAGTCAGCCATATGATGAATGTTTGCTCGTTTGACTCTCCCACGCGGAAGGAAAATTTTGGCCCGCACATGTCCACCAAGAAGTTGGGGACAAGAATTTATGATGATGAGGATGAAATCCCTTCGTATCGCGGAGGATCAAAATCGGTGTGGGTTAACAAGGACATCAGAGAGCACAAGGATGCTAAAGCTAGACCTGGGTAGGTGCTCGAGAAAGAGGAGGTCAGGTTGGCCAATCCCGATGAGTCAAGTCAGGTGCGTCATATGAAGCAACTGGAGGTTCCTGTGCATTCCATGCGAACTATAGAGGAGATGCCGAGTCGGGGCAAAAGCCCTTGTGACTTCCCCCTGAAGAAATTGCCCAAGATTCACGTAGGCCGGGTTCTCTGCAGATCAATGCCATAGAAGGAATATTGGAGGACCTCTCGTATTGGACGAGTACAGGGTTCCCATCTTGCGAGGAAAAAAGCTTGTGCAGTCTCATGAAAGGGACGAGCATATGTTGTTTCGGTTGGCTAGGGATACTTCGAATGGGGTGTCCCACCATGCAGGGAAGAGGCTTGTGCGGCTTCATGAAAGAGACGAACAGGTGTCGTCTCGGACTGCTAGGGACAAGTCGGATGTTGTGCAATTAGGGAAGGGGATGGAAGAGTTGGAGGCGAAACCAGTTTACTCTGACCTCCCACGTGACATGGCCCGACGTAGGAGATTAATTCTTGAAGATGATCTCCCGCCCTTGAAGCCTCCCATGACAGCCATGCAACGTCAGGAATCGATTTGTCATGACAAGGGGAAGGGAAATGTGAAACAGCGGGCAGCTGGCCTGGTTTCGATGAAGAAGGGCAGGAAGAATGGGAACCTCCCCAAATCGCTCGCATACAGCTAAGGAGCTCCAAACCTCAACTGGAACAGGCTAAGAAAAATGTTCGGCCTCGATCTGTCAATTTGGAGAAGGAAACGACTCCGCGGGTGGAGGATATGGTGATTGCGGATGGGGAGAGACATTAGGTTCTGCCCCGACGCCGCCTGGCCAGAATTCGCCATCACGGTCTTGGGAGAATGCCCAGCTGAAAGATCAAGCTCTCTCGAACTCGGAGACGTCTCTCTCGGAGGGTGACGAGCAATGCTTTGAGATTAAGAGTTGCGCCCCAAGTAGGGTTCAGATCGATGTTTCCAGAACCATCTGAAGCCGTGTGGGGAAGGTGGTGGCGGCTTTTGAATCCGACGACATGCTGCTTAACATGGGTGGAGAGGGTATTCGTGTCCCTACGGCGTTGGGACATGAAGTTATGAAGAGACCTGCTTCGCCACAAGCCTCTGAAAGGGAGATGATCTGGAAGTTGAATAAATAGGGGACAAATATCCTTGATTCAAATACTGGTGGAAAAAGCGTGCTCTTCAGGAGGTGGTTGGAGAGGTTAAAGATTGTCCCACGCCGAAGAAACGATTTGTTGAAGAAAAGTCGAATGATGAAAAGGTAGGAAGCCAGCCTTGAGTGGCCCCAATCGGATAAATGAGGCTGATGGCCTGGAATGTGAGGAGAATTGGACCATCACTCACATTCCAGACTGCTGCGGGAGACAGGGGTGGTGGGGCTGGCAGTGGAGGGCTGCTGCGATGGAGGACGCGCCAACGGTGGAAGGTTGCGGCGGTGGAGGATGGCTGCGTGAGAGAGGGAGGAGGGGGAGAGGGGGTGGGAAGAGTTAGGGTTTTGTTTTTAATTTATATGGGAGGGTAAATGATTGTGTGTGGTAAATCTTTTCCATTCCAAAAATACCCTTCGTTTAATCTTAACCATCAATTTGAAAAAAAAGAAGAAAGAGACATGAGAGAGGGTGTATCCAATGGGGAGGAGGTGGGTTGTCAAACTCACAACCCCCTGGGCCTGTTTACTTTCATTTCTGTTTCCTGTTTTTGAGAAAACAAATGTTGAAAACAGGTGAAAACAACATTTTGTCGTTTCCGAAAACAGCAGGAAATTGCCACTTTCTGTTTTCATAGTTGGAAACGAATAGAAAACAGAATGAAAAGTAAACAAGTTTTCTCATTTCGGTTGCCAAATTTATCACATGAAAACAGAAAACAGGAAACGAAAATGGAAGTGAACAGGGCCTTAAGGGGTTGTCACTAGGGGTGGAAATCGGTACGGTATCGATATCCCAATACCAAATACCAAAATCCCGAATACCAAATTACACCCTAAAATCAATCCCAATCCCAATCCCTAAATAATTTCGTCCCAATCCCTAAATAATTTCGGTATCCCAATCGGTACCTCGGTATCCCAATCGGTATTATTGAATACATAATTAATTACCTTTGTAATTAATAATTAAATATATAAATTAGATTTTATTGTTTAATTTTGGGCAAAGAGACTAAGCAAATAGTCTTGAGTTGCCTAGAGCTAACATCTCAAGTTCTTGTAATTGGTAATCTTTAATTTAACGAATTTGAGGTTGAGAGGCGACTAATACTAGTGTGAAATAGTGATGTAATGATCTATGTATTATTAAATGGCACTTTTGGTGGTTAATGGTCGCGCAGTAGTGAATGAGAGAGTCTAGTTGAGACGATAAAATACACACTAGCTTATATTTCGATATTGATCGATATTTCGGTATATACCGATCCCAATCCCGTAATCCCTAATACCGAATAACAATTGAAATTCAATCCCAATCTCAATCCCACAAAAATAATACGTGTATTCAGTAATACCAAATATAGACAAATTCGGTATGATATTCAGTATATCCCAAATACCGGTACCAAACTTCCAGCCCTAGTTGTCACCGTATCCCATCCCGAAGATGAGAGATGGGGGGAATCAGAATTTCAAAAATTGCTCCTTAACCCACATCCAAATCCAATTCTATTTCCTAATTAATATGGCCGCGCGAGTAGAAATGACGGTAGGTCCGGGACGGGTATCTCGATATCCATACCCGTACTATGGCAGGTCGAGTCCAGATCGGGTAATTTTTCACGGGGCACAGATCGGAGCATGTCGACATAGTGGGTATGTAATTTATGTGAAAAAACATTAGAAATATTTTTTGTAGTAGTATTACTCTTATGAATGAGTACGGGTTATTCGGAATTTAGGTTACAAAAATTCCTAGTTTTCGAGCAGTTTCGAGTCGGGTCAACGGATCGGGTTGTAATTTGTCAGCCAGGTTTAGGAATACGGGAGGGAGAGTGGAGTGGAGGGTTAGAAATTTATTAGGGGTATACTGGTCATTTTTTGCGTAACTGTGGGCGGGAAATGGCAAATAACAACTCTCATTAATACCATCCACTTCCAGCGTCCATGGCAGCCAAATAGACTTACTAATCTTAGATAGCCCCAAATGGAGGACCTCTCAGGGACACCAACTTCAACATGGCGTCCAGGCGCTCATTCTCTATCTTCTCTCTCAGTTCTAACTTCTGGGTTTCAGGGATTTGCTGTACAAAAGAGATTCCCACAAGGCAATTAGTTCACCTGACGAAACCAACACAATTAACTACTATAACTAGACATTTTGTTACCTTTGTCAACCATAACATGTAAGATGCTGAACAAATTGCTTGTTCTTCAAAATCTTCAAACTCATCATCACATCCTTCCGAGCATGAACTGACGAGGAGCAACTCCTCATCCAAAAACACACTGACGTTCACTTGGATGCTAGATTGGCGTTTTTGTGGAGAAGACACGTCGTTGACATCGCTTGTGAAATGCCTTATCCATAATAAGGAGAGAAAGCGACGGTAGAGCCATAGAGCCTGTGAACAAAAAGGGATTTGGGGTGGGCGTTAGCTTTGGAGGAAACTCTGTGTTGAGTTCAGGTTACAATGGAAACAAAGTGATCAGAAACAATTCCACAGCTACTTTAATTTGCAGAACGCAGTAATCGATTTTCATGTTTGTCAAGATCCCCTATATTCACATATTTTAAATGGGCTTGAGAAAAATACCTCCCTTCCTAAATAACGCTTTATTAATTCTTCATTCCAGTCAAGCTCCTCCTGATACAAACAGCAGCATCAGAGTGATTAACTCACAAATTGTGCAATCTCGATTAATTACAAAAGAATTAATAAATGATGGCGGTGAATATGAAAGTTCAGACATTATACCTGCCAGATCAAATAAACTTCAACACAAGAATCACACGACCCCTCTTCTTGCTTACGGCAGCAATCCTCTAAAATTCTGATGATTAGCCGCTGCAATTTGGTGATAACTCAAACTGTGACAAGATACTAGGAATGTCGTGGAATGAATACTCGTAAAATTATACATAGCTTTCTCTCATGAACTCTCTTTTAAATGTTCAAGGATTGTACTCACCATGCGATAATGAAAGCAAGAATTATCAGAAACATGTAACCCAGCCCACGTTTTGGATTTCTTCAGTTCCTGAATCACCTGGAGAAGCAATTTTTGCTTAAGCTGACAGACAGGACATCTAGATAAAGCAGCTCATAGATGACTGTGAAATGCATCAGCAGGTATGAACCAAAATACCCACAAAAGTTTCTTAGAATGAGAATGTATAAAAACCAGGAGAAAGTTTTTTTTTTTTTTTTAAAAACTGCCCAATTCAAGACAGTGGGCTGAAATTCTTCCATACTAGTCATACATGAGGGCCAAGTTGTCATGACGCTATAGGTAACAAAACATGCCCAATCTAAGAAACGAACCTGTTCTCTATCCATGTAAGAAACCAACCAGCAGCGATGATTCCATGCACGATAGTTCATCTTTGATCTCTGCATAGATAGCAAGGCAGAAAAAGTTTAGAGTAGCAGTCAATAGCACACACGCCCAAGAATTAGTAAACCAGAGCTGTGTTCAAAGCCACTAGTATGGAGTGAAAAATGAAAGTCTAACAATACATGCATACACCTAGTCATGTCTGGAAAGATCCAACAATCAAACCTGAAATTAATAAACTTCAAAGATGATGCTTTCTTTTCCCCTTTTCTTTTCCAATTTTTAAAATTTTGTAATGCAATTGTCAAGGAAATAGTATGCTTCTTTAGTATTATAAGTTGTTAAACCTTCACGAATCACTACTATGCAGTTCTTGAAATTAATATAAACCTCTGCTATCTTCTCCACCAGGTCAGATTCTTCCCTCAGAATCTCTTGCAAAGTTGTACGATTTCTGGCCATATTCTTGATCACCCACCTCCTGCCAATAACCGAAGGAAAAATGCATAGAACAAGTTAACAACTCATGCAGTTCAGCAGATAAACAACAACACAGGAAGAGAATCAACTAGTACTTCATAGATATTACCTATGGCTCCATGCTTGCTCGCTCTTGGGTGAATACGAAAGGACAAGGGCAGACAAGCGGAGCTCGTCAGTGAACATTGACGCTTGTGTCTTCTTCGATACTATTAACTTTCTGCAATTTGCATCTTCATAAAAATAAAATAAAAACAAGAACAGAGGGGCACACTGGGCATAAACAAGCTGCAATTAGAGGGTTTAAAACACAGGTGCGAATCTACCATTTCCGGATCATAACGATTCAAATCAACCAGACCCGTATAAATATAGAAATTTTCAAATTGGTTACCTGGAATTCCAAGCAGTCCCGAAATCAGGGCTTAACAACACAAGTGCTTTGCTGCATTTCATAACCACAATTCCTAGAGCTTCAGCAGAAGGAAGAGATAGGCCGTCGAGTTTCCTGTATTCTGCAATTGCATTCATGAATTGTTCTCTGGCAGCCTTGTACAATAGGAGAACAACCTCCGAGGAAATGCCCAGTTTGTGATCTCGAATCCAGAAGCTCCCATCTCCACCATCCAGCGCATCCGAGGCTTCCGATCGTGAGCTACCAGCTTCAGGGTCTTTCTCTAATGTCGCAAATTGCGAAGGGTGAATGAACCCTACTTCGTTGCTGAGCACGAAGGAGCACCAAAGCAGCCGAAAAACAAAATTGAACATAGGGTTGAGCGAATAAATTGAACGAAGGGGAAACTTCCTGAATCGAATTTGACGACGGTGCTTACATGAGGGGATCGGAATCGAGAATGCATTCGAATTGATTCAACAATTCCGACATGGTTTCGCTCTGAATAGTACCTTCAGACTTCAGTCATCATTACGAACTCCAGCTTCGATTTATTAGAAATTGGAAACGGAAAGAAACTAATGAAATCAGCCCCCTATCATTCCAAACCCAATTTGGGAAGAAAGAAGACTCCGTCGAAACTCGGCCGAAGGGGAAGCGGACGGCGAGTGCTGCCGGCGAATAAAGATTTTGTTTCTCCCCCGATTCCACTTGGCAATAGCTGCCTTCGCAATCGCACCCTTCAACCGCGCGATGGTTGATCTAGTTTGTTGGGCTGCTCCTGCTACTGGGATCGTTGACTGCTCCTCTTCCCGTCTCTTTTTCTTCACTACTCCTCGCCGTAAACAGAAAAAAATAATAATACCAAACGCAACTCGCATCGCCGATTGAATTGGGCCTTCGCAATCACACACGTTCTTCATATCCTGAAAGCACTTTCGCATAGAAAAACGCCTTCCTCCCAAACTCCAATAACTTCTTCATCGCTGTTAAAATCTTCAAATCTACCCAACAAATCGTATCTGCAAACAGACAACACTCGGACTTCCGCAGCTCAAACTCCCGCCCCTTTTGCCCGCTCGAAAATAGACACAGAAAGAGAACAATACCAGAACTTTGATGGCGATAGCGATAATCGAAACTGGAAGCAGAGCCTGAACTCCGCTGTTTCTACACCTTCCGTCTATTCTCACCTTCCCCTCCCGCCTTTCTTCAATTGGCGGGAAATCGGGGATTCGCTTCAGCGTCTTCACCTGATCTCTGTCACGGATACGCCGCTTGCGTATAGATTCCGATCGCTCTATCGTCGGCCAGCTTTTTCAGACGAATTTCGGAGACCCAATCGCCTTTCTTGCTCCTCTCGAGCAAAGCAATGGATCGTCCTCACTATTGCAGGAGCTCCGAGGTAAAACGACATCTTCTTCTGATAAAAAACGACCTAATGTGTCTGCTTTCGTAGATTTTTAGCCCTCGTAAATTTTCTTCTTCCAATTTTGGTCCTTAAGTCAGCAAAACTTGCTCCGTGACCTGCGTTTGATCTGGTGGGCTTTAATCTGTGGGCCTTGCTAGCCATTCCTTCCTCATTCAACAATCTTAATTTTCTTAATGGGCTATTTCTTCCTTAATGAACCTAATAGGCTTATTGTCACAATCACTAATTTGCAAAAAAGAAAAGTCCAAAGAAAAAGTAGACAATGCAAAGAGGAAGAAGTTGGTGAATGGTGATGGATTTGTGTTGGTGAGTGGTGACCACTGACCATTTTATGTTCCCATTTATGCCAGTGTGTCGGTTTAGCAAGTGGAATGGTTCAATCGGTGGCACATATCGGTTTGTGCCGGTTCATGTCGGTCAATATTACAAATAAAATTATAAATACTCATATTTAAACATGAAATTTAACGTCAATACCTAAACATTTATATTTGAATCCAACAAATAACATCAATATTTAACTTTAATACTCATAAAATAAATAATAAAATAATTTTTATCAATTAAATTCTCTAAAATAAGGTAATTTTACTTAGAGATTCGTATATCGATCATGCCGGTCATACCGGTGGTGTCACGCCAGTTTTATGACCGGTACCGGTTGAACCCGGTACAACCGGTGGCACGCCGGCCGGCGTGACAACCATGATTGGGAACAAACACTCATCTCGAATACCCGAAGCTCCGAAGTATTGCTCCAAGCTCCATAGGAAGTTCTCTAACTCCCTTGCATTCCTCGACCCTTGAAAGCTCTTTGGTCTTGGAATCTCCATGTTTGAGGCAGGTTGTGCAATGGCAGGTCCGTTAGCCATGACCCTCTTCACAAGCGTCACCTCGCTTTTGAGCTCCGCAACCTCCTCCTTCAAGGAGGTCACCTCTGCAGCAACCACCTCCTTCATTACCTCAATGGCATCGTTCATGGCGGTGGAGATGGTGTCTTTGATGAGGACCATAAGCTCATCTCGAAGCCCTTCATTGCCAACCTCCAAACTCATCACTCTAGCCGCCACACTTTGAACATCGCCTTGGATTTGGGTGAAGTTAGCTCCCAAATCCTCCATGACGGCGACATCTTCGGAAAGCTTCACCTCCATCCTCGAGACTCGCCTCTCTAGAGACTTGAGAGGATCACGAGTGCTCGACGTACCTTTTGACCTTGCGCCCGGAGTGGGATCTCTTCCACGTTGCTTCTCTGCATCGTCATGGACTTCTGATCCAGCCATCTTTGGTGAGGTTCTCGCTCTTTCTTACCTTCCTTCTTGGGGAGTGAGGACACCGGTTCTTCTTTCAGAACCAGACTCTGATACCAACTGTCACGGCCTTACTCTTGGTCGTGCGGCCCTAGCTCTCAATTCCATTAGAGATGCTAGACAGCCTTCTCACAAGCTCTCAAACTCACTCAATTCACAAGAAGAAGACACAAGAAGATGGGAGAAACCCTATAGTTGTATTGCTCACAAAAATGATGGATGAGTTACAAGTGAGGGAGATGGCTCCTTATATAGGCTCTCCTCATACAAGGCATCAATGACCCTCATAATGGTCCCTCCCCATTACTACACCCTATTAAGTTTCCCCCATAATGCAAATCATTATACCACCTCATAATGTGGCTCTTTATGTGCACCATTAAGCTCATATTCAAGATGGGGAATCCTAGGAGCATCCTATGCTACTAGGTCTTCCATAACGCCACACGTGCTTGACTTGGTCATGATCTGCCACATCACTCGCCATGTCACCCGCCACACGTGACATTCTCCCACCTATTCTCGCGACGCCCTCGTCGCGTCCTTGCTACAAAATGCCTCCATCGACCTCGAGCAACCTCTTTCGACTCTTGAGCCTCGTTGGTGACAGCCCTAAACCGTAAATGACTACTAATTTTTCATAAATTTACTTAATTAATTAATACTATTCTTATATAATTAATCTTCTTAACTTACACACAAAAAAATTCTTCTTAACTTACCCATATGTTTCAACATCCCTAAATCCCGCTCATGATTTACTATTTTGGTAAACCAATAATAGTATTATTACTATACACTCTTACCGCAAAGTCAAAAGTATAATCACCAATTCCTAATTTAATCCATCCATTCTTCACCCCTCTTTCTTTGTTTCTTCATCTTTTCCTTTTTTGTTTATTGGTACATGTCCCCTCTCACTTGTTAGAGAAATGCAAGTGAAACTCATCAAACAAGTATTTTAATATATATATCGATTTGTTGTTGAAGTACGAATTAAACTTCATCTAGTTCAAGATATGAGTTGGATGATTTGTAGTCATTATGATATTTGATTCAAGATTAAATCATATAAGAGTTTTATTTTTTTAATCGATTGATTGCCTAAAATACAAATCTAGTCTGTGCCGACAAGAAACTACCTTGATGCATGTAAATGTGATGGGGAGAGGTATATAAAATAGGGTGATAAATGTTGTGTCGTTAACAGTTTAAATGTTAACCACATTGGTAACCGATTGTTAATGGTGAAACCGTTAATCACTAAGGAGAATGTGAGTAGTTTAGCGGAAGCTTAAAACTCCTTATTGGAGTACCAAGTCACAAATGGTTAATAACATACTGTTAGCGAATAATGATCGGTTGTTATTGCGCGATCGAGCTTTAAATTTATAAGTCAATGCACACTTTATATTCAATCCTAACTAAGCCAAGTATAACCTAGATATGGTTATAATAAAGTGGCTCAGTCGTATTCCATGGGATCCCTAAGTTTATTATTACTTTGCTCCGAACTACTATATAATCGGGTCGAAAGTTTGATGAGGGGTTTGAACTAATTTAACCTACTCCTAAACAAGCAACCAAGTGATTGGGAAACCGCTAGAGGTGAGATGGTTGCCTAAGGTCGCATCCTCCTAGCTATAGTTTTCAAGTAGGGTCAATCGAATGGGGTGAGTGAGCTCTTTTCTGTGGGCTTTCGTGGTTATCCACACGCCACCAAGTACGCCTCCCCTAAACCCCATATATAGTCACCTCGATCTAGACTATCGTATTTGTGGCATTAAGCTCATGGCTTCTTTCAATGGACACTATCCACCGTCCACACCAAGGTTTCATTTGCGGTTCTTTCTAGGAAGGTTACCTATAGCAGGGGTTCGGTCGCCTCGACCACTATAGGACCCCATTCATACATCTATCTCGATTGGCTTGATGATGTATACCCGTCTAACCCTAATAGAGTAGATTTGTGCGACTTACCCAAACACAATCCAGGATAGAATGACATTCAAATCAACTAGTCAGACACATTCATACATAACCCATTCATACACAACCTATAAACTCGGGTTCATATTCCATAAACAATCACTAGAGAGAGGAAGAAAACACAAACTAGAAGAGGGGAATGATAGAATCAAGCTTGTTCTCCTTGCTTGCACCTTCTCCTTGCTCCTTGGGTTGATTGGATCTTCAATAAAGCTCTCCTAAGGTGATTCCCTCTCTAAAACACTCCAAAACCCTAACTTTCTAACTATAAGGCGGCCCTCCTTTTTCTCTCCAGCAACTCTACTATTTAAAGGCGCTGAAAATCTCCGGCTAGTTCGCGGCCTGAAGATAGAAGATCGCGGCCGCAAACTTGTGTGTCACGGACATGATCATTTTCCTCAGTCTGGATCAACGTTGCTTGCGAAGAGAGTGGGGAAACTCTCTGTTCTCCCAGCGACGAATCCTTCCAGAGTTTGCGGTCGGAGTGCTCCACTTCGCGGTCGGGATCTCACGACCTTGGCCCGCGATCTTCTGGCAGACTTCACGGTTTATCTTCGCGGGTGGGAACTTGAGCTCTTCAGCTGCAATCCTTGCATTGTCTGGTTCTTCTCCTTGCTTCTACACATTATTGCTCATTTCCTTCCCATCTTTGCTCGTAATGTCCAATGCGTCCAAAAACAGGTATCATAAACGAAAAGGAATGAAATGGGCACGCGAATGACATTTTGTAAAACAATTGAAGATCATTTTAACACAAGATCACCTAATAAATGTAAGGTAAATAATGCCATTTCGATGTTATCAATTAACAATCGATAAGGATTGTTAACCACTCGAAATGATCAAAACCTCACACTCAACGAAGGAAACAACTTCGCCGTTGATCACTCTACACTCACTAACTCCAATCTCCTCGCCTTCTCGGCTAATACGAAGAACGAGGGATGGCCGAAGAGGATTTATCATGAACCACAAAGTGTTGGTCGTCATGCTAATAACTCTCTTTGGTTGCTTCTCAATCACATTGACGGGAGGATGATCGAGAGAGAGAAGTGATGATGACAGCTAGGGTTTGACTGTTCTAGAGTGAAGGAAATAAGGGTTGTGTTTTCTTCTGTTCTTGGTTCACAAAGGGAGTGGATTCGTTTTATCTGCAGAGAAAACAAGAGAGAGGAGAGATGACGAGAGTAAAGAGAAGAAGGGAGTAGGGACGGGCATCAGTCCGGTCCGGATCGAATCGGACCAAATTCAGAGAATCGCGGTCCAATAGTGAAAGATAACTTAGGACCAAGGATCGGACCAATAGTGCATTCGGTCCGCTTGGGTCCGGTCCAAATGTAAATTCGGTCCATTTTCTTCAGTATTTATAAAATTCAAGGGACAAAGGATCGGACCATATTATATTCAATTCGGTGTGGTCCGATCTAAACATCGATGCGATCTGGTGTGGTCCGGTTTGGACCAACCCATTGCCCACCCCTAGAAGGGAGTGTGCGGCAAGGATATCTCTTGTCCATCACTTTCCTTTTATACATTATATAAAAAGAAAATTATGTCCCTTACCTTTTTCCAAATTCATAAACATACCATAATTCTCTTTTTCAACAATATAGGCGGTTAACCATTAATCGAATCGACGATGACGGTTAACAACTAATGTTTGGCAGGTCGACTAATGGTAATGATTTTTTTATTGGTAGGTAGCCGTTAACCGCATTATCAGTTAATGGTTAACCGCTAACCAACCTAGTTATCACCCCTAATATTAAAATATTAAAAAATGAAAAAGACACAATTAATAGTAGGTACATGTATGTAAAATCAAAGGTTTGGCATTACATGAGTGAGCACTTCTACTATACTATATAGCATTGGTGTTTTAATGTACAACTTGAAGTTGTACCATAACATTAAATGTATAAGTTTAGGTTGTACCATAAAGGAATTTGTAGCATTACGTTATGGTACAACTTTACAACTTGAAGTTGTTCCATCACATAAGGTACAAGTTTAAGTTGTACCATAAAAGAATTTGTACAAAAAGTCTAGGTACAATCTGAAGTTGTACCATAACATTAAAGGTACAATTTCAAGTTGTACCATAAAGGCAAAAACCTATAGCACCAATGCTATATATCATTGTAAAATTCCTCTACATGAGTAATAAAATGATATCTTGAGATTGGATTGACCGGAGTTTGGGACATGATACTATACCCTAACCTATAGTTGAAACTTTAGGCCCCGTTTTAGAGGTACTTCTATTGATCAGATATCTTCATCCATATAATAAATTAAACCGACTTTGGAGCATGATATTATCCTCTAACCTTTAGTGGATAAACTTTAAGCCCCGATTCTCTAAGTTGAAATCTAAAAATCAATTTATTTATAAATAATACTCGATGATTCTCATTCATATGATCGGTTTCGTTCGGTTAGATTGAATAGCCCGACCGGATATTGGCTTGACAACCTTGTTGCTAATTGTAAATAATAGTAGTACTATTATAATTGTAATTATTGTGGTTATTTTTTTGTCGTTATAGTCGTGGTTTTAAGTTGTAGGATTATGAATCTGACGCATTTATAATTGGAGTCATTGTTTTGACGGTAGTACTCAACGTTTTTTGCAATTGTAGTACTACAACTATGACATGGACTAGTACAAGTCATGATTAGTATGGTGCTAACTCCTGTAGGGTTAGCATAGTAAATGGTCCCCATATAATTAGTTAAATATTTTGGGTTTGGTCATTAACTAATTGATAGGTTTCATTTTTTTTTTTAATTTTTTTTTTGATAAGGTTGACATTGATTCAGAAGAAATACAAGGGCAAAAAATACAGAAGGAAACAAAAACAGAAAGGACAGACAGGGGAGCTCCAGCGGACCAAAACTTCCAACTAACATCACCTAATTAGGACAGCAACACTGCCGCTGAAGGAGGAGAAAGAAAACAAAAAGAAACGAGACGGGGGAAGGCCGCCCAGCCTGATAATATTAAGGAACAGTAGCCCCTGCCAATTCTGGGTTCAAACCACCATCGACAGTTCTGCTCTTCAAGACCCGAAGCCATTCCTCGGCAGCCTTTATATCAACCTTCCCCGCGACCGCCAACCACAACGCAATGAGACTACCAATCCTGAAGGCGATTCCAAATTCTGTGTTGGCCACCCCATCAAAAATCCTGCGATTTCTTTCCTTCCACAGACTCCAACACAAAGCGTGGAGGAGAGTCGAGGTGCACCACTCTTTGGGATTGGCGGGCTTTCCACGAGGCCAGTTGTTGATGACTTGAGTTATGCTTCCCGTACCTCTGGCGGAATGAACGAAAGCTCCAATGATGTTCCACACTCTAACAGCGAAACTGCAATGGAGAAACAGATGGTTCGCGTCTTCTTCGCTTGCTGCGCACATGACACACCTGCTGGGGAAACTCCATCCTCTTTTCTTCAGGGAATCATGGGTGAGTATCTTTCGTTGATGAACGATCCACAGGAAGGTGCAGATCTTGGACGGAATCCACGCTTGCCAAATGAGCTTGTACGGATAATCATCTGGTTGCTCATACTTCTCCTTCACTAGACAGCAATACAAGGAATGCACGCTGAATTTGTCGGCCGCCTGCCAAACCACTGAGTCTGAACCTGTGGAGAAAACAGATGGTGGCAAAGTATTAAGAATATCAAAAAATCTCTCCCTTTCCCTCTCAACCCCACCTCGAAACGAGGTTCTAAAAGGTATATCCCAGTGAACACTCTCAATAGAAACATGGGCCAGGTCGCGGATCGAAGCGAGGGGGGAAACAGCGGCAGCAGCCATACGCGGGAACTCCTCAGCAAATGAACGATCTCCCCTCCAGTAGTCCAGCCAAAAGGAAGTGTCCTCCCCTGAGCCCGGTTTGACCTGTGCAAATCTCCAAAAGACTGCCTTTTCCTTAATAATTTGGCTCCAAACGCTACAACCCAGAGATCCCGAAATCCCACCACTGAACCACTTTGTTCCACTATCCGAAAACTTCTCCTTGATCAAGATCTTCCACCAACTATCCTGCTCTTGAGTAAACCTCCATAACCATTTACAGATCAGCGCCTTATTCTGCATATTAAGATCCATGATTCCCAGACCGCCCCACTTTTTAGGCGCTTTACATTTCTCCCACCCAACGAGATGCAATTTCCGTTGGTCACAGTTCCCCTCCCAAATGAACACACGCTGTAGCTTTTCAATCTCCTGAATCACCTTCTTTGGAGCTGAAAAAAGCGAACAGCGGAAAATGGGTTGGCTCGACAAGACAGAATTGCAAAGAACGATTCTCCCGCCAAGTGACAGGAACCTCGCTTTCCACCCTTCCAACTTCACTTGTAATTTTGATATCACATGATTCCAAGTTCTAGCAGCCGTCGGGGAATCTCCGAGTGGTAAACCAAGATAAATAGTTGGGAGGTAGGCCCATTGACACCCGAGAATCTGTGCAAGCCTCTCATTTTTTTTTTTTATTACCAAGGAATGATAGTCTAACGGTAAACCTCTCGTGACAGTGAAGGTTTGAGAGTTGCAGATCCCAGGTTCGAATCCAAGTGAGACTCGTTGGTGTTCCCGAAGGTACAAAGCTGCTGGGGGCGAAGTCTTGTTGCCGTCGAATTGATTGTAGGTGGCTCCCAAGTTTAGTGGGCCCCGCTGTTACAAAGTGGCACGTGAAGCTGAGATTCCTTGATAGGTTTCAAAAACACTTATATAGAGGAACAAGTTTGCTTTCATCCTACGTAAATCAAACCATTCAGCATCAAGAAGAGTAAACAGAGGAAGAGGCTGAAGAAATAAGATGCGCCAAAACACAAATTCCCATAGACAATGTTTAACTTCAAGACACATACCATAGCTTTAGAAACAAAAACACAATAGTTATTCCAATCCGAACACCAAACGGTATTAAAGAAAGAAGTTTGAAACAACAAAAAGACACACAATTGTAGCGTTTCCCAAGTCCCAACAGACACTTTATTCTTCAAGACAACTGCCGACCCCAAACAACAGCATCAGTGACTACGACAACTGACAGAACAACCCCCTGCAAATCACTCCTCTTCTGACTCCGATTCAGCATTCTGGAGCCAATCAATAAACGGCTCAGCACTCTTCACGATCTTGGATTCCTTGTTGCCTCCCCTGAGATTCCCGTACCACTGCAGAATGTGCTCCTCCTCTAGAACATCGGCGTCGTACAGAGCTTTGAGAACAAGAGCCACCTCCTTCCCTGCACCAGATTTCTCAAAGAAACCCTGGATGGAACCAAGTAGAAGCAGCTGTGAATCTCCACCCTGGGCTGCAACAGCAGCAAGATACTTCTTCTTCTTGACCACTTCCTTCGCAAGTCCCTTCTCGACACCATCGAACAAGGCCAAAAACAAAGCATCCATCTTTTCCTGACCTGAACCAGGCAGTGAATCCAGAAGACCGGGCAACTGGCTTGCAGCAATTCCTTTACCGATGCTTTCCTTCAACACATTGGTTGGAGAACTGGTAGAACTCGTCTTCCCGTTCTCCTTGGATTTCTCCTCGGCTATAGAAGAAAGAGCACTTTTCGGGCTGCTGCCATTGGCTTTTGCAGCTTCTTTGGCCTTCTTTTCGGTTTCAATGGTAGTAAGCATAACCATTTCAGCAGTAGCAGCACTCAATTGTTCCTGGATGCGCTGGCGGGCTGCCTCGGCAGATGTATCAGTATGCCACTGAACATCGTCGTCATCATCACCATCATCCTCGTGGTCTTCTTTCTCATAATCATTACTATGTGTAGGTGACACACGTTCCTCATCAGATCCACTTGCCTTCTTCTTTGTACTTGCAGCCTTGGATGAGACATCCTTTGAGGTAGTAGTTGTGCTCTTCTTCTTGACATCCTTCTTCACTTTCTTCAACTCCTCATCTGCTGCCTCACCTTCCTTTAGCCGTTCCTTCTCAGCTCTCCTCATTGCTTTCTTGTCCTTTGACCCCTTCTTTGATTCCGGTGGGTTCTTCAAAATGAAAGTGGTCAGCTTGTCTCTCATATCCACATCAGATATAAATCCACAGGCAGCACACTTGAGTTGAAGCATCTGAGTTTTGGTTATGAGTATCTCGGTTTCTGGGTTCCCACAGCCGTAGCACTGAACATATTTTTTTATGAAGATTTCCAGAAGTCCAGCAAGCTTTGCAGTCTCATGTGAGCCATTCACAAGAGCAATGCCAGTTTTCTCATCAAATTTTGATTGAGCACCAAGCTCACAGCCAAAGTACTTGGTGGTATAAGAAGCTGGCCGAGCCAAGGCCTTTGCAATGTCAACCATGTTGACTATATTTGTCTTGATGCCATTACCTCTGCCCTCAATCTTGGTAACCATTCTAGGCATCTTATACCTGTAGAAGGCATCATCACTGTTTGAAGCACCAATGTTCTGCAACGCCATCTTGTCTCGAACAACGGTAAATCAAAGTTCAGACTTGTTTAGAGCTGCTGAGGGAAACAGATGGATTGAAGAGGGTACGAAGAGCTGCTGATGCCTGCCAAAGATCTTTCAGCGAGAAAAGACTTCACTCTTTTGGTCAAAGGTTGCATCCAGAAGCAACCATGAAGTTCTGTGTGTTTGTTAAATGGCCCAGTATGCATGCAGCTGATTTTTTTATGCAACAGAGGCCGCTCCTTTTTCCTTGAAAGCAGACAACGATTACCTAGCAATCCAATGTCTACCGGGATGAAAATGGCCTGTATGGACATAAAAGAATCTCACTTTCACAATCTGCAGATTGCAGCCACCCTTCCAGCAAAGCTCCTGAACAACCAAAAACACAACAGTTGTCAGGCCAGAAGTTGAAGAAAATGAAAGGGAAAACACTTACATCCATAGATGAAGTCAGATCGAGAATGAAGACATATAAAAATTAAGAATATTCAATTGCTTCAAATGCACAAGAAAGGGATAAGGTTTTCCAACACTCGAATGATTGAAAACCAAAATCGCGCAAACTGGATTCTTGACTCCTCAGTCCCAATCAAGTATGCATTAACACGTAAAAGACATTTATGCACCAATTATCATACAGACCACAGAAGTAAGTAAACAAGCGGTTCCAATCCTGTGGCTTCCTCTTTCATCAATGACAAGAGTAAATACTCTCAGAACACAGACCCCAAAAAGCAATAAAAAGATGATCGGAAAAACAATACCCCATTACCAAGAAAGACCAGATTCGACAAAATCTTGGGAATATCACACCAAACCCTAATACAAATCTACAATCACGCAGAACAACAATCGGAAACATACATCGAAGAGCCCATCAACCCTACGCATCCGTTACTCAAAAGCACAGAATCCAAACTAATCTACCAATCAACCAATCAAAAAAACAGCAGCAATGAAAACAGCCAACAAGAATCGCAAGATCGGGACCCTTTCCGGCTACGGTGAACAAAACAAACGGGAACAATAACGAACACGCGAAGAAGCAGAAAAGAGCACCTCCAAAAGATACCGAAAGAAACAGCGAAGGACAACGAAACGCGGAGAGCGTCAATCAGAACAGATCTCCGGGAGAGTAGCGGAGGCAATGGAGGCTGAAGGAAAGGAAGGATTGGCTTTTTCTAGGGCTTTTGGGGGAGAACTTGCAGGCAGCTATTCCGTTTGTATTGTGGAGAAGGATTGCGGAACCGTCAGTGACAACACCCTAACTTTGTTTTTATAGGCTTCGCCGCAATTGGGCTTTGCAATTGCGGGCCGATGAGATGCAGAAGAAACACCAAAAGGCCCATACAGTAGAGGCCCACTCCATCTCCGTTTCTTCATCACTTCTTCAACCTCTCTCTCTCTCTGTCTGATTGTTGTCTCGTTTACTCTTGCCGGCCGCCGCTACCGGCTTTTCGTCGGTCTCTTCGACCGGCTATCTTCATCGTCAGGGAGAGAAGGATAACCGACTGAAGCAGCGTTTTAATTTCTTCAGAACTCGAAGATGACTGATGTCTCACACAACGGGAGCCATTGGCCTCTTGCTGCATCAATGCGCGAAATTGAAGGCCTACAGTCGAGGTCTCGCCCTCCAAGCCGTTGCTTACAAGTCCGGCCTCCATTCGGATGTCGTGGTATCCAACCATGTCCTCAACGTGTATGCCAAATGCGGGAAGATGTCTTCTGCTAGACAAGTGTTCGACGAAATGCCGCAGAGAAACCTTGTTTCCTGGTCGGCCATGATTTCTGGCTATGACCAGGTTGCCGAACACTGGTTGGCACTGGAACTCTATTCCCAGATGTGTTCTTTTCTCCCCAACGAGTATGTATTCGCCAGTGTCATCAGCGCATGTGCAGGTCTCGCGGCGCTGGTCGAGGGGCAGCAACTTCACGCTCAATCCTTGAAGTTGGGTTGTACTTCCATTTCTTTTGTGGCCAATGCGCTCATCTCGATGTATATGAAATGTGGTCGGTGCAGTGATGGGTCATTGGTCCACTCTGGGGTTTCAGACCCTACCCTCGTCTCTTACAATGCTTTGATTTCTGGGTTTGCTGATAATGGTCAATCCATTGATGGGTTCAAAGTTTTCAGCCAGGTGCAACGACAGGGTCTTTTCCCGGACGAATTCACATTCGCTGGAATTCTGAAAATTTGCAGTGATTCTACTGATCAGCAATTTGGTGCTGCATTGCATTGTCAAGCAATGAAGCTGAATTTGGAGTCTACTGCTTTCATTGGCAATGTCATCATTGGGATGTACTCAAGCTTCAAGCTGATAGATGAAGCAGAGAAAGTTTTCAGAACAATCAAAGACCGGGATTTGATATCATGGAACACAATCTTGAGCACTTGTTCTAATTGCTTCGATCACGTGAGAGCACTAAGAGTACTCCGAGTTATGATAGCTGATCATCACGACTTGAAGCCCGATGATTTCACCTATTCTGGTGCTCTTGCTGCTTGTGCAGGGCTAGCATCACTAAAACATGGTAAACAGATTCATGGTCATCTGATCAGGACAAGGCTGCATAATGACGTTGGCGTCAGTAATTCCCTTATGAACATGTATGCCAAATGTGGTTCAATAGTCAATGCATACAACACATTCAACAGGATGGGCTGCAGCCGGAATCTGGTTTCATGGAACACCATAATCGCTGGATATGGGAATCACGGGCTTGGAAACAGGGCGCTTGAGCTTTCCCAGGACATGAAAGCAGAGGGAATGAGACCAGATTCCGTTACATTTCTCACTCTCTTAACGGCCTGCAATCATTCTGGGTTGGTGGGAGAAGGTCAACTGTGCCTTGATTCCATGGTTGAGAGCTACGGGATCTTTCCTGAGACGGAGCATCTCTCTTGCATCATCGATCTGCTGGGAAGGGCTGGGAGATTAAAGGAGGCGGAAGATTACATCGAAAGGTTTGAGTTTGGCGGGGATCCAATTGTGCTGGGTAGTCTGCTCGCTGCGTGTGTTCTGCATGGAGAAGTTCCCATGGGAGAAAGACTAGGTAAACGGCTTCTGAAACTCGAGCCTGCGACTACCTCGCCTTATGTATTGCTGTCGAATCTGTATGCCACGGATGAGAAGTGGCATGGTGTCGCAGAGACTAAGAAGTTGCTGAAGGTTAGTGGCCTGAAGAAAGAGCCAGGCCATAGCATGGTTGAAGTGAATGATACCTTTGAAAAGTTCACCAAAGGAGATTTTTCGCATTCCAGGATTCTGGACATCAGGGAGACCCTTAGAACTCTCAGTTCTGCGGAGGGAGAGACCGCCATTTCTGCAGGATACCAGAATTAGGGATTCAGTGTGGATCAGAATCAGATTCCAATCGACATCGGTTCAGGATGCTAGAATTTTCTGCTGCTTTCTCTTGTGTATTTGTTACTTGTAAGTTTTAACTAAAGTATGTATCGTTTTGTAGGTTTTATCTAGTAGTTCTAAATCTAATGTTACTCAAATTTATAGTGATCATTTTTTTGTGAATATCACATTTATAGTGATCAATATAGTCTAAATCAATAGGCTGAGACACACTAAGACAAAATTAAGTCTGAGTTAACCATTAGCTACACAAGCGTAACAACGCCATTAGCAAATGAAGTACACCTTCCGTCGACCAAAATTACAAATCCAGGACCCAACCTACATTACTACCTTGTCCAACTAATGATACACAAAAGAAAGGAGCCATAATCACTACTCACATAAGCTCTCATACATTCCTACCAAACCTAAAACTCCATCTTCACCACTAACTCACTCGGTCCAACACCTGCTGCTGCCGCAGCCGCCCCATGACGAAGCCAATCCTTAGCACACACGAGTGCCTCGACAGTCTCGGGCCTCAATGAGGTTCTATACCGATCTATCGCTCTCGGCAGCACAGTGTCGAACACGTTCTCCGCTGTTGCAGTAGACACGGGAATGCTCAGTATGTCTCGAGCCATCTTCGACAGTGTTGGATACTTCATCTTGTTCTGCCTCCACCATCCCAACACACTGAATTCCGCCACTCTCGGGAGCAATGAATCGTCCAGGTACATGTCCAGCTCCGACTTCGTCTGTTGGCTCGTGGTCTCCATGATGAACACATCGAAATCTGCCAGGCCGTTGTCCACAGCTGCCCCGAGCTGGTTCTCGTCATTCCTTAGATTGGGGTCTGCATTTTCTTCGTAAGTTGGTGTCAGTGGTAGAGGCAGCGCCACGTACTCCTTGAACAAATCATGGACCCCATCATCGACGATCTTTATGTATGCAGGAGCATCATCACCATATATCTTCGAGAAGCTGAACTCGACCAGCTTCATCTTAAACCGAGGGTCCATGACTACTGCAACTGCTAAAGCCAAGCTGCAATCTTTGATATATTTCTCGATTTTGTCCTGCAGTCCTATGATGAAGTTGTTGATGAAAGGATCTCCGATAGCAGCTAGTCGAGAAAGCTCATTTTGAATCTTCCAGGCTTCATGGAAGAAAGTGATTGCAATTGGGTTGGTCGAGGATGAGAGAAGGTTAGCTGCATCAACCAGATATTTCAGGAGTGAGCAAATCGTTTCAACTTGCTTCCACTCCAGCATCGATGGTGCTTCCTTGTAGTGAGGATCATAGGTATCCAAGCATGAAAATACTTCTTTCAATTCCGAAGCAGCAAGCAGCATTTCATACGTCGTGTTCCACTGAGCCTGGTCGTCGAGTCGGAGATTCTTTTCAGTTGGGACTTGCAGCTGCTCTTTGAGCTCAAGAAACTTCGCCTGGTGGGAATCGAGGGTCTTCACATACTTCACGCTGTCGCGGATTTTCGACACAAGATCTTGACATGCTGACAATAACTCTTGCGCCATGCTGGTCAAGGTGTATGAGATGCAGTTGCCAAGCACCAGCTGGCCGCTGAGAATCTGTGTATTCTTGATACACAACAGAGATTGAAGACTTTCGAGACCAGCTTCTCCCACGGGGTGGTTAAAGGTGACGGAGAACAGTTTACCTTCCAAGCTCCAATCAGAAAGGCAACACGCCACTGCATGGCTCAGGGCAGCATCTGAATCAGGATACGGCTCCATCACTACGTTCAGCATCCTCTTCTGCGGCTTCCAATCACTATCAATAAAGTGCCCAGTGATAAATACATAGCCTAAGCTATCACAGGAAGTCCACGTGTCCAGAGTAAGGGTAATGCGTCCAGGGAGTCCTTCAATAAACTTCATCACGTTCTGCTTCTCCCTCAAGTAAGTAGCAACACAATCCCCCTGGACAGTGTTGAAGCTCACCATTCCAAATCGAGGCTGGAGGTTTGAGACGAAATTCATGAATCCGGCATGTTCAACCATGTGAAGTGGATAATCGTGCATGATGATCATCTTTGCAATCTCATGGCGGCATCGGTCAGAGTCAAAGGCGAAGTATGAGGAAGATCTATACCGGCGTTTTGGTGGGTCGCTAGTTGAACCTCCAGGGGTACTATTATACGTCAGCATTTCAGGATGTCCGTGGTTCCGGAGTAAGGCTAGACATGTGCCCTTTGCTACGTGGCGCTTCAGGTGACTGGTCCCAGCGACCTTGGAACCCGTGCTGTATGCAAAACTCTGCTTGCACTGCTTGCAACAAGCTCTTCTACATCCATCCGCAACTGTCTCAATGGTGAAGTGTTCCCAGACCACAGACTTCTTCCTCCTTCGCTTGTTAGGCCGCGAGTCGGGAGTTACGAGGTCACTGTTTTCATCATCATGGGGGAGCATCAGCTGATTGTTGTTATCATCATCATGATGGATCATCAGTTGGTTGTTGTGGTTATCTTCTTCCATCAGCATCAGCTGGTCGCCCATGTGATGATGGTTGCATTCAATTATATGATCATTGTTGTTCTCATCATGTGGCATCAGCATCTGGTGGTGGTTCTCTTCATGAGACACCACCATGTGGTGTTCGTGTGTCGACATCATTTGGCTGCTGTTATCAATCTGAGTGTTGGCGTGTGATGTCGGCATCTGAGTGTTCTCCTCCTGGGGCACTACCAACTGAGTGCTGTCCTCTTGGGGGGCTGCCACATCAATGTTCGCATCCTCAGCCACCATAATTTGACTGTTCTCCTGCTGGGGCAGCACCTTCTGACTGTTCTCACTCTCAGTCACCAGAATCTCACTGTTCACTTGCTGGTGCATTACCACCTCACTCTTCGCATCTTCAGTCACCACCGTTACATTGTGATCCTCTTGGGGTTCAGCTACCTCAGTCATCTCTACTTCTGTTACCCCCATCTCATTGTGATCCTCCTGGGGCACCAACAGCTCACTCTTCTCTTCTGTAACCACCATCTCACTGTTCTCCTGGGGCACCGCTATCTGACTGCTCTCCTGAGGGGGTTCTGCCATCTCACAGTCTTCCGCCTCGGTCACCACGGTCTCTTTGTACTCCTCCTGTGGCACCAACATCCCACTGTTCTCTTCCTGTGATACCAATGTCTGATCGTGCTCTTTTTGTGGCGACAACCTCTGACTGCTATCTTCTTCTTGTAGCACCGGTTCCAGGGTGTTCTCTTCGTGTGATGGCAACTCCTGATTTTTCTGCTCGTCTGGGACTGATGTCAGATTACTCTGATCTTGTGACACATCTGTTTGGTCGTTGCTCCCTTCTTCAGTTACAGGCTTCTGATTTGTATCTTCTTCTTGGGGTACCAATTCATTGTTCTGCTCTTGTGACTCCATCTTCTCTTTGTCATCTTGAGCTGCCAACTCTTGGTTCTTCTCTTCCTGCAACTCCATCTTATCACTGTCTTCTTGTGGTGCCACCTTTTGATTATCCTCTTCTTGAGTCGCCACCTTTTGGTTGTCCTCTACTTTTGGAACCACCTTTTGATTATCCTCTTCCTTTGACACAATTGTCTCATCTTGTGATGGCACTGTCTGATTATTCTCTTCAGGGGCTGCTACACTCTTTTCTCCTTCTTGAGGAGACGAGGGCTGCTTGCTTCCCTCAACAGCTGGAGCTGGAGTGTCTGACAGTCCAGTGCTACTTTCTTCAGCAGGTGTCATTCTCTCTCACCAAATTAAAATCCTGCTTTATGGAACAAAACACAGATTCACTTCAATCATTCAGCAAAAATCTCAGGTACCCCAATGAAATACACTGTAGCTGTAAGTGAGCAGCAAATCCTCATCATCAACCAATGCGCAAAATATATTCACAGAGAACCCAGATTAGGACACAAGTGAAAACTTCCCTCAACTATTAAGATAGCATCATTTGATGGTAAAACACATTATTGTAGTAAAGTTGACAAACACATTAGGAGACCAATGTGAATGAACAGACAAGAATTGTTTAACATCCATTGTGATTGTATAACATCCACTGCGAGAAGCAATCAAATGAACTGACAAATAACTCAGCCAGTATCCCCATTTTGATGAATCAGCTATCGCCAACTACTTCTGCCCACGTTCAGACCACATGAGCTTATGTTTCCTCCAACAAATAGCTTAACTACCAAAGAGACATGCTAATGCTAACGCTAACTTGCAACCAAAAAAACACAGTATAACAGCAAAAGAAAAAAGGGAGGGAAGCAATTAAGCAAAGACAAACACATACGAAAGGCATTCGGGTCTTACTGGCCTAAAGGCGACGCCTTTTTTCTTCTATGAATAAGAAGAACAACCGTCAACCAGCAAATCTCTTACGAACTCGATCGCTATCGGGCCTTCCAAGAAGGGTTCACCAATAGCGTAGGCCCATAATCGATAGTTACAACATACAACAACAACAACAACTAGCGCCCTCACGTGGCAGTTAAAGGGTAAAGTGGGCAAGCGCTTCGCAAGCAGGCTAAGCCGGGTCAACGAAGGGTTGAAGCAGATCTACTGCCAATTCCTTTTCCCCTCGGTTGGGCTTGTCATCGGCCGGCCGAACAGCCATAAAAAAAAAAGCACACCCGAAAGAAAGGAACAAAGGGCACCCATCGCCAACTGACTGGCCGACCGTCGTTTTTCCCTCCAAAAAGAATATCATTTACCTCCAAATTTTTTTCAAAAAATTAGTTCCAAATTTCGAAACCCCAGAAAACTCTGAAGCTCGAGATACGAAATTCACAGAACTACTCGTTAAATTCGCACACCAAAAGGAAACGCCGGCCCCGAAGCAACAGCGCAGCTTCAAGAACACCATAATTGAAAACCGGAACGAGCTCAAGAAATGAAACGAATTGAACAATAACGCAATTCAACGACCACAGAAACACGGAACCAATCAAAATCAAAATGGAAAGCGAAAGGGGAACAAAAACTATCAAATTAAGAGCTGAGAAAAGTTAGGGTTAAGAGCTAATTTACCGGACAATTGAAAAAAAAAAGGGAGGGAACGCTGATCTTCGCGCGACTGTGAGAGAGAGAGAGAGAGGACGGAAGGTAGGAAGATCGGGGGCCCAACCAAGCTCCGATGGGCTCTGCGAGATCTAGGGTTTTGGTTATACTTCCAATTTTTTCCCCACCCCTAAACAAACCCCAAGACTGCGAAGAGACACACGAGGGAACAGCAATGGAGCCGGGGCGAGACCGCGAGAGAGAGAGAGAGAGAGACTGAGAGATCTGTGGATTTTCTGGGGATGGAAGGGAGGAGCGAAAGGATTTGGGCCTTCTTTTTTCTGAGGAGCCAAACAGATCCAGCTGAAGAAAGGGCTTAATTGGAGCTGAGGGCTCGAGAAAGGGGAAAAGCTCGCTTTACTCTTCTTTCTCCTTACATCTGAAGAGATAAGGGAGAGGGATAAAAAGAGAGAGAGAGAGAGAGAGAGAGAGAGAGAGAGAGAGAGAATTATCAAATCCAGTTTAGTATGGACTTTCGGGTCCATAAACAAACCCTATTTGGATTCCGTCTCTTCCTCTTTGATGTTTATCCGATTCGTGAACTAAGGCCCAATGTGGGGAGGGGATGAGGACGAGACGACAGCGTTTAGAAATGGTGCCGTGGGCCGTCGTGGTGTGGTTGAACTGCTGGGCCCGCCTATTGGGCTTTGGAATTTTAGTTTTTTTTTCTCATGGTTTTGGGTTTCTGGAGCCCACATTGGTATTGAAATTGGGTGGGCTTTGGATTTTTAGAATTTTCATCCTTTGCAATACCAATTCACTCTACTTTGTTCCAATAAAGGGTGGTATATTTGGAATGGAATGGATTGACTTAAGTGCCAATTGGAGATGAAATGAGTTAATGCATGGTAGTTTTTCAATCAATTAGTCGTTGTACTCTACTAAACTCATTCACCCTCAAATCACGAATGCATTGTCGAATACCGAGAGAATACTATAGATGTTAGAAACATGATAACTAAATCGAGAGATAACATATCAATTTTCCGGACATATAACATGTGAAAACCAAAAATATGCATAATTACTATTAATTTTTTTTTACTTATGTGTTGTACAAGGACATGTCCATCAACACCTTACGGTGCTTCGTGGATGTGTATGTTACAAGGATACGTTTGTCATCAATTTCAAAGATTTTGTTCATTCATATTTCATATTCATATGTAGGACTTCTAAAAATCGAAACTAGCGTATAGCTTAAACCACATTTAACTCTACATCTAATAACGATAGCTTTGGATGTGTACACCATATTTCACTGCCAAAGAAACATATCAATCTACTCCACTTAAATAGTGTAGTGGGATTAATTAGCAAGCTTTGTTGGAAGTTTTAGAATACCCACTTGCTGTTGAAACCAATTTAATATTTATAGAACACAGCTGCCGGATCATCGAGAGTGGCCAATTCGTGGGACAAAATGACCCATGTTTTTCGAGACAGAAACTAAAGTTGAGAGATCTTAACAAAAGCACATAGGGGGGACAAGAAAAACGTGGACAGACTTTCTTTCTTTCTTTCTTCGATCTTCTTCTTGTTCCTTCTTCCCATTCCCTGTTTCTTTTTAATATGTAAAGAAAGGCAGAGCGAGCTAGCTAGCTAGTAAGTACCGTACTGTCTGGTGGTTCTACCAGAAAAATCTCATATCGAAAGCGAAACTAATAGGTGGTATGAGAAGGTTGTACCACGGTTAAATCATGGTTTCGGCATAAAATATCATGTCGCGCTGACTTTTCCAATACAAGTTTCGGTGGATCCCCCATTCGAGAAAGCGTATCCAAGTGACTAGTCTGCGTCCCTTGATGGTGCGTCTTCAAAGGTAGTGTCAATTAGCCGCTTTCCTTGTTGCCATGCACCTGGTATCCAGGGATGGGACCCTACACAGATCCAGCGGCTCGCGGTAATAGCTTGCTTCTCGAGTGGCTCGCACACGGGCAAACATTTTTTTCTTTCGTAATTTAGTCTATCTAGAATGTGAGAAGGGCTCCATTCCTTTGTCTCTTAATCGAAAAACCATGCAGCTCCTTGATCCGCACGCCTTTTCAATTTTTTTATCAGAACATTAACTGTCAAATCACTTACTCGATCGAACCAACAGAATAAATCGAGTTGACAACCTTGAAATGAAGGAGGAGGCTTGAAGAAAAAGAAGGACGACAAAGAGACCTCCGTCCCGGGATAAACGGAGGGCGTACTCAGTCCTACGCACACGTTCTCTTCTTCTTTCCTTTGCTGTTTTGTGGGCTCCTTTGATCACATGCTTCCATGTGAATTTTACACCAAATCCCTCCTCCTAATTAATGGACTAATCACAATCAAGAGTCAAGACCCCACTCTAATCCTATCTGTACTCGACTAATCCCTCTAGCCAGCTAGCTAATTGTACTTCCAACCAAACTCGCATTCCCCATTAGTGAGGAGTTTAATAGTCGCTTAATTAGTGTGCTTGCTTGAACTAACTGTGAGATTCTTGTTTAGTTTAAGGGTTAGTAACTTAGTATACATGGACAAGTCACAAGTAACAAGTGTTTCTGAGCTGGATTTTTCCAAGAGTGAGCTATAATCCTATTCCAAAAGGATGATGAGTTGGGTGGATCACCTTTTACCTTGATGATGATTTAAGGGCAGTGATTGTCTCTTGTAAATTAAAATGTCAAGAATTTGTTGGTTTCAATAATTCAAATTGTGATTGTTCCTTTACACGCACCATCCAATTCAAGCCAAGCTTACCAGATATATACCATACGGCTAAATCATATATATGGTCATATACTTTGGAGTGTAGAATATCATGTCAATCAAATGCATCTAATAAGAAAGACCACCGCACATTGAAAATCTATGATACCATGTAAAAAATAATGTTGGTTTCAATAAATTAAAGTAAGTAATCTAAGTTGTTGAGAGATGCCATACTATCGAATACTATACAATTCCTCTAAACGTCTCAAAGGAGCTATTGTCGAGTAACCACTTACTTCGAATGTAAGACCTTTTTTTCAAGTGAATCGCGAAAAACTTCTACCACGCATCGCGTTTACAATTCTGTTGACGTTGGATCAAATTCTCGAGTCTTTTCAAATTCGGCATGTCCATTATCGAAAACGGAGGACCGCAAGCTACTTAGTTTGAATTTATTATATCCATGTTTGGAGTAATAATATTCACCTTGAATACAACTAACAAGCCCTCAAGCTACTTAGTTGGATGAAACGAAACAAAGGTCATTGGCCCAATGAAAAACAAAAAACAAAGATCATGGACTTGCAACGTATGAGTCGTCCCATATTTTTTAATAGGAAACATTTATCATATACTATATATATATACCATTAAGTAGTATATTTTAGACCCTCCATGTGTCGTATAAATAATTAGAAAATTAATGACAGATAACCTATAAATCATCGTATGACACTTTTCATGTTTAACCATACAAAACAAAGCAAATGAATAGCTTGGGTATCTTAACACGAGCGCCAGCACACAACAGAACTTTCCGATCGAGTTCATGCTCTGCTTAATTATTCTTACACTCTTTCGAATTTCGATCTCTATGCATTGCACTTGCAACGCCACAACAGCAACACATCATAATCTGTAGTTCACAGAAGAACATCTATCTTCTTTAGCTCAATGTTATTATTGTTATCTTATTTTGAATTTGAAAAAAAAAAATTCCTGAGCATTGTGAGGATTTCCCCTTCTTCACCCTTTGGTTTTTGTCCACGTAGTCATCATTTTTTTTTGTACGTTTCGACTATTCGTTAATACACAGTACTCTGTCAAAATTGTTGTTGCTCTGTTGATTGCTATGAAATCTAAGTCGTACGTGGTGGCATGAGTTGCAATCCAAATCGAGAATCGATAGATTAGAGAACTTTAGAACCTCTATACCGAAAATATTTTTTGTTACTGGTTAATAGAATTATCAAAAGTCTTCATCAAATCGAGTTTAACTGCACTCGCAATATGGGTCCATATATATCACGAGACCTCTTACTGTGTAGTCCAACACCATTTTCCTGTGTGATTGGATATGATTTTGCCACTATAAACGGTTGGTGCTATCTAGGGCTAGATGAAACTTGAAATCCACCATACCATAAATAAATAAATAAATAAAATAGCATTAAAATACATAAAAATAACCAAATAGAGAGAAAAAAAACCTCGTATTTGATTGGGTAATATTTATTTATTTATTAAGGCCTGAATTACCTTATAATATCGAGAAGTTATAAAATCTGCTAAACCCGCATTTCTTACCATCATTGATACGAATCATACTACTATGTTATGATCATATTATCATGACGAGAATATGTCACCATTTGCCGTCCTAAATTTTTAACCTAGCATTTATTATTGATGGTAAGTTAGGAGAGTGGGGGAGGGAACAAAGGAAGTAGGGTTTCTTTTGGTTTAGTATTATTGTTGGCAGAGGAAGAGAAGTAAATCTGAAAGCCCCTCCTTCCAATATTCTTCTTGGGATTGGTGGCCTGCCATCCATGGTTATAAAAAAAAACACCCAAAATAATAAAATAGAAGGAAACCCTACTCATCAGAATTCCTTTCCAGCCTATAAATCTCTCTCTCACTCTCTCGTCTCCACACCCTCACTAACCCTACAACTCCAACCCCCAAAAAAAAAAAACTCTTTTCCCCTTTCCTTCTTCTTCCTCTTCTCCAATAATTTTCTGCAATGAAAATGGCTTCTGCTTGTACTCTTCCACAGCTTTCTTGAACTGCATCATCTCTCCTCCTCCCTCCCTGCAATCAGCTGCATAGTTGGAAATCAACAGATCGAGTTTTTGCGGTTCAATAAAGCTGTGGGAAGATACAATCAGGGCTAGTCGTCGGATTCCATTTTGTGCTTCAGAATCCCAAAGGAAGAATCTCTACTCGAAGAAAATTCGGTATCTCTTTATCTGCCCTTCATCACTAGATCCTGGTTTACGACGAATTCGAACCTGAGACCTTCTGAGTGAATACTGTTATTACTTTCAACCCTCTGATCTTTTTATGTGTTGTTTTTTCTCGTGCAGTAGCTCGATCTGGATCTCGTGCGTGACAGCCAGAAGTAGTATTTACTTGAGGTTATACTTGAATAGTTAGCGACAGAGTGTTTTATACTAAAATTATAATTTAATTGTAATTCATGTTTCATACGGCTAAAGTCATCTATTGATTTAGACACTGATAAGAGATTTTTTTTCGATTGGACCTGTCAAATTAGGTTCATGGATAGATTAATGGATGGTGAGCGGTTGATGTTTTTTAGTAAAGCATATTTAGTGCTACATTCTTCTTGTATTGTTGGCTCCATTCATTTATTTATATGTATATATAATAATGGCACATCTTCGATCGGCCCTTTTATGCTACCCTGTCGGTCGGTCGATGAATTGTATTATTTGTATTATAAAGCTTTTGAATGTTTGTTTGTTTGTATATTATATAAAAAAAATTCCATTTGATATGTACATAATGGTGATGATATTATTTCCTTTTTATTTAAGGGATGATATTGATATGACATCTAATTGTGTCTACACCCGTTGTCCCGTCTATCTATAGTCTCTATTTTGTTGTTTGGGTTGTATTGTTTGGAAGTCAGATTATATGTAATCTATTGGAAGTCACAAGGATGTTTTTATTGTTATGGATTTGCTCCGTAACCTTTCTTTTCTTTTTCGATGTTAAATTAGAGTTGACACGTCTAAAAAAGTGTTATATATATCTTCTCGTCCTTTTGTAATGTTTATCTTTCTCAAGTATAATGAAACTGATATCTCTCACGCACATGAATTAGCTAATTCACATGCTAGTGAATCTTCCTTACTGTCTTACATTTTCTTATCTTACAAAATATAAGATGATAATATAAACCCATATTACCCAACACATCCATTTTGATGATTTAGATTTTTGTGAGTTTAGATCATATATGTCAAGAACCAGTTGATCCCAATAACTCGAGTTGTTGGGATCAACTGGTTCTTGACATGGTATCAGAGTCTAGAACCGAAAGGTCATGTGTTCGAATCTCCACGACCCCCAATATTAACCGTTGTCTTTCAAGCACATGGTATGGTGGGCCTGTGCAAACTTCAAGCTCATGGGCTGGCTTTCGTTTGAGGGGGCATGTTAGAGAGTGGTAAAAGATCCACGATTGAACCTCTCCCAACAACTCGAGTTATTGGGAGCAACTGGTTCATGACAATATATAACACAAGGGGGCCAAGTTTAGAGCTAGGGTTTCTTTTTCTGACGGTAAGTTCTTGTTCATTTTGCAGATCTTTGGGTTTTGTTCAATTTGAGCTTGAAGACAAGCCCGACTTGAAAGGAAGAAGAGACCCTTTGTGGATCAACCTAAAGAAGAAAAGGTAAGTGTAAACCTTTTTGTCTTTGTTAGGGCTGAAATGTTTCTGAATCAGATCATGTTGTTTCTACATAGCTAGGGATTGATTCTCAGTTCAAAACCAACTCTAGCTTTCCCATCCCATTTTTCTGTTGCCAATCGCCGGCCAAATGTTTTTGGCCGCTGGCCGGCCGACAGAATAAAACTAAAAGCCATTTAATGAAACCAATAATGTCTACTATGGTTTAAAAAAAAAAATGTGTACTTGCTATCTAGGGTTATATATTTCCTTTCTTCTTTATGGTTGTCAACTTGATTAGCTGGAATGTTAAAAGGTCGAAGCCAGCAAGAACAGCACAGCTGCAACAGTACTCACGAGAGGGTTTGGTTGGAGTCTTTGTTTTTAATTAGTATGGCCACCTAACTAGCTAGCTTTGGCCACCTCTAAAGCAGGTATTAGTCGATTCGGTCTAGAATCTGATTGAATTTAGATAAGATTGGACCAATTTGAAAGGAAAATTGATGATCAAACAGACCAAAATTCAATTACAACTCAATAATTATTAGAATCAAAATAAATTCGATCCAATTCAATTCACGGTATAATTCAATCTGAATTAGATCGGACCATTGCCCACCCTAGTCCACCTAGGCCCCTAATCAATTAATTTGCTTACTTTATGGGCACCCACCCCACATTAACATGCAGTTGCTTCTGTGCCACACAGGTCATCCTCAACCAAAATTGGTGTGGTGGCAAGCTTCTGATCAAGATTCTATCTCACTAATTAGTACTTTAGGTTTAACTTTTTACACACCTAATCCAATCAAGATGTTCCCTTAATTAAGTAGTGCTGCCAGCTAATACATAGTGACAACTGAAAAGCTGAGTTTTCAATTCATCTGGTTGGTGAAAGCGTGTCAAACAACTATGTTCTTGAAACGATTCTGAATCCATTTGGATCGATGATCTCGCGATTACTTTTTTTCCAGATCTTGCGTAAGGAAAAGCATTTTGCTGTGTGGGTTTTGTTTTGTTTCATAGCTAACTTTCACTTTAGGGTGGGGTTGAGATTATTTATCATTATTATTTGATCTCCTTTACTTCTCCACTAATGTTGTATGCTTAAAGGGAAACAAATTGGGATTAGGAAAAAACATATAATGTTACATTTTATATGGTCTAGAAAAGTTAGTTGTTTGCTTGTTCCTCTCTTGATAATATCCAAAGTGGCCGGGAAAGAAACCATACCAATGAGTTTGTCTGCCTTGTTGACAAAAACAATTGTTCTTTTTATTTCCTTGTGCTTTGTGAACTAAGGAAAAAGAGCTAAAGGTCGATCGGTGGAAAAGTTTTGAAGAAAAACAATACATTATTAGAGCATTAACCTCACTCCATTTGCTTCGATCTTCACAGGAACTTTGGTAAAAATGTAGATTTGAACGTGAGATATTTCTCAGATTCCTGTATTAATTTACGCTAAAGTATGTATAGCTGATGAAATATACGTTCTTTGATGCCTTTTACACGAGTGGTATTACATAGTGTTTGCTAAATCGTATCGTACCAACAGTCCGACCGGAAAAACTGTCTATTGGGCTTTAACCTTATATCGGATTTTATCTATATGAAACGAATGAAACATGATTTGAACACATACTATCGAACCATTTACTTAATTGTTACGACCTCCAATAGGGTTACATAACATACGCATGTACAAATGTAGTCTCAACTCCAAGTTAAAATATATGAACATATCTGGGGGATTCAAACACACACCATTCTTCATAAATTGTATTTTGTATATGCATCATAATCATCCCATGTAAAAGCGACGTGACTTTCACCATTTGCCTTTCACTTTTACCCTCTCCACCACCACTGCCAATGGAGAAAGTGGCAAAATGAATTTACTGCTTTTTTCAGGGGGTAACATCTCTCACGACCAGCCATATTTCCCTTTCATCAGCTGCCAATCCTCTTTTCCCAGGTACGTACCTTTCCTAGCCTCCGCCACAAACTATCCTTCCCGCTCTCAATAACCTGTTGATTCAAATAACTCGGAACGAAAACCAATCCATGCGTTTAAAGTTTGCACTGGTGGTTTAAAGTCTCCTCTCCTTACCACACTTTCAAGCATAGATGGTTCTCTCTATACCTTATCGATCTTTCTGTGGTTCTCTTTACAATCACATAAAAACATCTCTTATATCGTACTAACTTGAACGCTGAAATATAGATAACGGAGCCACCTTGCGCCTCTCCATAGGAATCCTCCAAATCCAAGAAGATCGAACGAACAAAAGAGTTCGAATCCGCGTGTCTCCAAACATTCTTGTTATCAATCGAAGTTAATTGCCTTGGTCGAAACAGCAAGGTCATATATATACACCCATTTTCTTAAAGGATAATCATCACCAAAAATGATCAAACCACGTACATATATATATATATATATCTACCATTTTCTCAAATTTATTACTAGATAAAGATAGTCGGCATATCCAACACCAACAAACAACGATAATCAACCACATCCGCTTAAACATTTCTCCCAAACTCCTATCCCGATCTACTCAAAACGAACTCTAATCTTTGGTATTCCTCATTAACCATCTGGCTAGTGAATTTACTCTCAACAGCTGCACTAAACACATATTCACAAATTTGGACTTCTCTCTAATCTCTATTGGCCTAGCTAATTATAGCCTATAGAACGGATAAACACTAATGTGGAAGAGATAAGCCTTTTCTTCTTCTTCCCCCAACATTTCATTACCAGTATTAGCAAAAGATTCCCCTTAACAAAGCTTTCCCTTACTACTTCAATTATGACCCACTAAACCCCATCCAAACCAAAAGGACAACATATCCTTAATAAGGCAACTAACCCTATCTTCTGCCCATGATGCTTCAGATTGCAATAATAAGTACTTAAGGCAAAACAAAAATTTCAAAGTGGGTTTTGAAAATTGCTTGACTTGGACACCTGCCACCCTCAAGGACTCAACTCAATTGCACAGAAAAGGGGCAAAAAACTGGATTGTGTTGAGAAAATTAAATAGGAATTTAACTACTTCCCATTGGTTGGAATCACCTAATTATTATGATCTCTGCAGCAGGCAGTGGATTGGGCCTTAATTTAGAGCACATACATATTTAATTTTACTGTGTATTATTATTATTATATGTAAAATGCCCCAATTCTGAACAGATAGCAGCATGGGCCAATCAAGAGTGATTGTATATATATATGTAGCTGAACACAATTTGGCACTATGTGGCTAGCTGCTGTTCTGTAGAAGAATCAAATATTTTTTAAAAAATACATATATATTTCATTTATTTATAAAATTTGGAAAGATGGGTAAAAACAAACAATTCAGTATTCGGTTAGTGTTAATTAATTAAATTGAAATTCATATTATCACAGAAAATTTTGGGTTTTAGCATGTAATAGTGACATCCAAAATATTTACTTGTTAGCACAAAATAATTCATTTTTGTTCTAGAAGACCAGAAAATCAAGCATATGGTTGTTGTTTTTTTTTATATTTGATTTTATTAGTTTCCTGATGCATGCATCCTCAGCTACCACTGTGGAGATCCCAACAAAAGGACTGCCTATAGCAAACCCAGAAATTAAATAAGAGATAAAAAAATATATATATATAAAGAAACACAGAATTGGTGACAGAGAATGAGAGGGATGTGAAGGTTAAAAAAACTGCAATGGAGTGATGTCAGAAGCTAGGCACAGAAAGAAAAGAGTGGTTAAAAAATGATGTCATTTAATAAATAAGGTAAAAATAAATAAATAAAATTTAACCCCATTTATTATTTTTTTTCACTGAAATGTAGGAAGAAGAAGTTAAGGTAAAGAAGAGAAGCTAGAAGAAGATCATCTCTTCAATGCTCCCATCAGGAAGAACTATCATCATTGACATATAGAAAGGAAAGTTTTGGGTATCTTCTCTGCCAAAAATTCAGTGTTATTAAAGCCGAGCCGAGCCGCTCGGTCCGACCGGTAAAACCGCCACCCGGTCACAAAACCGGCTCGGAACAGTCTAAAAGCCGCTTTGGTTTTATGTAGCGGTTGGCGAGCGGCCGAGGCGGTTAACCGTTCGAGCCGATCGAGCCGATCGTCCGGTTTTTGCCATTCAGCCACTAAATTTAATTAAAAAAATTGTAGAAAATTGTTAATTGAAATAAACCAAAAACGTCGGGCTCTCAAATTGAATCCTTATTTCCATTTCACAATTTCGAAGGAAATAGATGAGCTCTGATTAAGAAATGTCCACTATTTATACTGATAACGTTTATTAGATACCGGTTCTCTAACGGTTTTTAAACGGTCTAATGCCGATTGGACCGCTAAAGTACGAGCCGTTCGCATTATCAGGTCATGCTCCGGTTCGGTTCTGACAACATTGCAAAAATTCCCACCCCACAATGCTACAATTTTTCTTTTTTTAAATAATAATAACTACCCATCATTTAAATTGCATTCTTTTATTATTAGGTTTCCATATTTGAAAATGGAATGAGGAAAATATCAAAATATGTGTTATAAACGCACTGCTACTGATCGGGAAATCGCCGGAATCGATAAATCAAGAATACGAAAGCGAGAATCGAAAAACACAGACACACGATTTACGTGGTTCACTAACACGATGTGTGTTAGCTAGTCCACGGGCGAGAGAGAGCCAGTTTCACTATATCGAGGAGATTACAGATTACAGAAGAGTATGAGAAGTATTTATAGTACTTCTCCATGTGGGTCTAAACCTAATCCAATATGGCAAAGGAAACGGTTACAAACCAGGCCCAGAAGCAGAACCCAAATAACATTGAGCCCATACACCACAGGCCGGGGGCGTTGCCCCTGGACCCCACTCGGTGACCGGACAGCGAGACCACCAACTACCAGTCGTAGCGGCTGATAGTCCGATTCAAGTCACTATCAACAATATATATAAATAAAAACACTTCTGTTGTTGCCCTTTTTCTTTCACTGTTTTGATTGAGCCATCAGAGTTCTAGTTAAGAGTTGATCCAAAGGGAACTTACCTAAAATTCTGCTATAGCCCTACTGCATGGATGCTGCAGCTAAGCTATAGATCTCTCCTTTCCATATATTGGATCCCTTCTGATGCAGAACTTGATAAGTGAGGCTGGTAAAAAATACACAGAAGTCACTCAAATTATCCATAACCCCCCACTTCATCACCCAATTTCTTGCAGAATTCATGGAAGATGAAGAGAACCCACATCCAAAAATAAAAAACCAAGACGAACCCACATCTCGAATCAGTGAAATTACCAACAAAAATGCAAAAAGGTGAAACCTTTTTTATCACCCCCACCACAGTAAAAAGTGGAAGAAAAAAAAAACTTACTGGTAAGATGAGAGCTCAGTAATTTTTACCATGGCAGTTCGGTGGGAAGCTAGCTAGCTAGTTCCTGAATTAAGCCCAGAGAGTGACATGTTCTCCCACAGCTTTCTTGAGCTCTCCGGCCATGGAAATCATTATCATGCTCCATTATCAGTGGGGAATTGAAGGGTAATAAAGGCAGAGGGAAAGTTCAAGAAAGCTGTGGAATAGCATGGCACGGGCTTTGGATTGGTGAATTTCCCTCGATGAACAGTAAAATAAGCCGAGATTTTCACTTGGGTTTTCCTCTGTTGGGAGGTAAGGAGAAGATGAACAGAGAAAGATAAGAGTAAGAGAGGTGCAAAGGGAAGAAGAGAGTGTAGGCTGCTGAAAGGTTCTTTCGCATATGCCCATCTTTATAAGAAGAAGAAGAAGAAGAAGAAGAAAAAATCTCATATGGACCACTAGTCTGTCTATACCTTGAGTAATCTTTGTTAGCAGCTTTAGAGAGAGAGAGAGAGAGAGAGAGATATGGAAGAGGAAGTGGGAGGTTGAGAAAGTTTTGTAGGGTTAACTTCCTCTCCCCAATTTTTGACTTCTTATTTATGTGGTGGTATCTAGAAATTTCCCACCCTTTTTTACTTGTCTCAACAACCAAAGATACAAAATTGAGATAGGAAAAAGATTTCTACCTTTTTACTAGCGGTGACGGATGAGTGCGATATGGGTTGCTACGAAAAATATGTACTGAATTATTTGAAAATATGAAGAGTTTCTTACTATCAATATATTTGGTATAGGAGTAGGGGTGGCAGACTGGCAGTTCGGTTATTTTGGTTATAACCGGTAACCGATCGATCGGTTATCGGTTAACCAAAATAACCACCCATGTACCGAAAACCGACCGAAATAGATTTTGGTTTCTCGGTTATCGGTTAACCGAACCACTTTTAAGACCCAAAATAATTTCGTCCAACCTCCTCGAAACCGACCGAAGTTTGGTTACTTCGGTTACCGGTTAACCGGTAATCGAACGGCCACCCCTATAGAGGACTAATGATTTTAAGCTTAACAAACAAGTATGATTATGTTATCTAGTTCCTTCGCTAAAATTTGTGTTCATGCATTTATATGTTCTGATAGGGTTAAGGAATGCTTACTAATTATGTTCTTATATGGAAATTGCTGAAACATGAATAAACCGACATAGTAAAGCAACGTTTATGTAAAAATTTAGGATGGCAAGTTTGTTAACTCAATATAGAACAATATGTCAATAACTAAAAGTATCATTTATTGACAAAGTCAGAAATTATAGTGAGGAGATCAGGTTGAAGATAACAAATCGCCCCCATTTTTTATGGTGTCTTAAATATATGAATACAAATATTGTAACTTTAAATAACAATTGGTACATGACTTATACATAGCTTTAAAGTGTTTATTATTTAATTATATCACCATATGCATTCGTGCATACGTTACTTTGACTTGGATGTGAAGAAAAGAGGTTGGAACTTGGAGAGACTTGGGATTTGGAATGGAGCAGTAGTCCCACAAAATTCCAGCACACATACCTAGCCAGATTATAAGGGTATTGACTGATGTATGTTGACAATGTTTTTTGGACTTATTAAACTTAACTATAACTATACCCTTACATGAAATTTCCCCCATTTACATGCTCCTAAAGAAGGGTCCTTATTGAAATGATGAGATCCATATTAGAATTGGAACTTTGAGATCTATTTGTTAAAATTCACTGATAGTATCGTTTAGATCGAACTCGTTTTCACGGGTTGACATCATTTTTAATTATGAGAGTAACAAATAATTACCAAGGGACACCATGGAGGGCAACCCCATCTCATGCACATGGTGGCATGTGCATGTGATATAACAAAGATCTCTTTCCATTATATAGAACCAAAGGTATGGGTTTGTATATGGTCACCAATCCCCTCATGTTGTTTCTTTACTAATAATGCAATAATAGTAGCTAGTGTGATTAATTATTGTCCATGTTGGATGATTTGTTTCAATGTTTTGTGATTGATTTATCGGTATCCCAAAATATGGTGATCAATATATGTAAAGGCCTTGCTTTGCGGTGTTGGAGCTACTGCGTCCGTCGTCCAGGAGGCATTACATCATTGAGAAGTTTTTAGAGGTTATATTTACATGTATATCTCTTCTGTCGAGACTCAAGAACACACTGAAAAGCGATAGGACGAACACTATTGGCTCAATCTTCATCCAAATTTCTAGGTTTAATCCTGAAAAGTTGACACAATCGCTTGTTTATAGCCTCTCGTCACTCCAAACCCTGATTTCGTCACCGAATTATGTGGAAAAAAAGAAAGGAGTGACAATGAGAGAGAGGTTAATATTTGATCTACATATATAGTTACAAACTTACAATATATATATTTGTCATTCATAAGTTATACATAAGGCTAACATGTTGGGATATATTTGCATGTTGCTTGGAGGTGGGGGCACTCTGTATTTTCTTATAATAACTTACACTTTTTTGTTCATTAAATTTACATTTATTACCATATAATTTAGAAAGAGGGGAGGGAGAGGAAAAGAACAAAGGAAATTAAAAATGATGATGGAAAGAGGGATAACATAAAGATATTATGATCACATGATGATATATGCTGTTAATGTTAGTGGCAAGTGGGCCTACAGAACGGGAAGATGATGTTGGGTTGTGGGCCCCTTTTCCTCCCTCAATATCGGGCCCAATCTATACAATTTTAAATCGTTTCCCGAATCTACACCTCAAATTTTAGCTGGAATTAGGAAAATAACATTTGCCACTAGGTGCTACATTGATATTGGTGATAATTTTAAGAAAAAAAAGGGGAAGGTGTACAAATAAGTATGCAATCAAAAGATAATAATGGCAATGGGGAGGTTGTTGTAAAGTCTCTCACAATGTAAGAGATCTTGTCCTTTCGGGGACATCCGATAACATGTAGGAGGTCTTGCACTTTCAATTATACGAATGATAATATTTTTCTTTTTAAATAGAATGCTTCTCTAATGTATTTTAGTAGTATATTTTTGTGCAGTTAGAGAAGAAATGAAACGCTGATGCAGTGTGGTTGTAGATGATTAAAGGTTAATAATATCGAAGTGGAGTAAGTAAAGGAGTGTGGAGTAGATGTTAACCGTATTACTTTGCCAATTTGAATTGCATGATCTTTTGAGTATCATTGACAATAAAGTATGTCTTTCCTAAGGAAAACATGTTTCCTTACGCGCTTTCTCGTTGGTTATAATGGTTGGTCGTTTAAGTTACATAAACTCTAGTTCTTGTTCTTCGATGATACTTTTTTTAACCACGATGATAGTTGAATTCATACTATTGGATCACATCTATGAAGGTTGAAATAAGGATTTTATTTATTTATTTATTTATTTCTATTTATGAAATGAGATAAAAAGAAGAGGAAAGAAATGTTGAATCACAAGATCACCAATCAAACTCTCCAGACTAGTGCAGAGAGTCGGCAGTCGTCAGGCAACTGAAGCACAGAGCTCTTTTTGCAGTTCTTTCGTATGGGCTGTGTATTTGCTGCGGTTGTGGTGAGTTGTACGGCGCAAGTGGGAGGCCTGCCTGCAAAATATGAAGCTAAATCCAACTCCAGCCATATTTATGATATTTTAATAATACGACCAGTCGATCATGGTTCAATGAGTAACATATTAGCACAATATTCCTCGCATGTCTTTGCGAATTTCACCTCCTACAATCAAAAAATTTCATTCTCCTTTGTCTCACTCAAGTGAATTGATTTCGAGAGCACTTCGCATCCAAGTGAATTGATTTCGAGGGCATTTCTTTTCATCTTTAAATTTCATCTCCTACACAAAAATTTCGTTTTCTTTTGTCTCGCTAAGTGAATTGATTTCAAGAGCACTTCGCATCCACCCAAATTTTTGAATAGATAGCTGGAGAATTCTCACTACCTACCGGTCAGCCGGCAATGGGCGCGGTGGGAATGGACTTTCCAAAATCCTTTAGAGTTACGTTTATGGACATCTTTGTGTTAACTAGGGTGTAGAACCAAACATGGTATCTATGATTAGTTGAAGTTGCAATCTAAAATTGATTAATTCCACTATATATCATTCATTTCTTTTATATAAATTTAACTGACATAATATTATCATAAAACCAGCCTCATGGGCGGGCCAGAGCCAAATTCAACTTGGCCCCATTTCTACAGGCCCAGGCCCACCCGGCCACACCCCCAGGCCCCATCTAAACCCACCTCTCTCTCTCTCTCTCTCTCTCTCTCTCTCTCTCTCTCTCTCTTCCACCACTAACTCGATTTGTTTGAATAGAGTCATGCGTGGATCTTAGTTAGGGGGTGTGCATATGCAAAAGTGTGCTCCGATTCGAAACGGACCAAACTTATTAGAACCGCGGTTTAATAGTGAAAGACATATTAAAATTAAGGACTAGACCAACAGTACATTCGGCATACTTTTATTCAGAATTTATAAAATTCATGGAACCAAGAACCGGGTCACATTGGAATATGATTCAATTCAAGTGTCGGTTTGGTCCGGTGAAGTTCGACACGGACCGACCCATTGCACCCCTCTGGTCTTAACCACTTCCTTACACGCTCCTCAAACGAGGATCAACTCATAAGATTGAAGTATATATAGGTCCATCAATATCATGTAATGTAAGACAACCCTCAATATTGGAGTCGTAAGGACTTGAACATGCGACATCAAATACAAACCAACTTTACCTTATAAAAATATACAAATCATACTATCATGTAATAAATCAACTAATCACAATAACCTGAGTTTATTAAAAAAATTGTTAATCATAGATCTAATATCCCTCCCTAGTTTCTTCCATGAGAAAAAAAGAAGTGTAGAAACTACCAAGAGCTACTAACACCAAAGTCAAGAAAGTCAAATCTCTTTCACAGACCAAGAAATGAAGGGTCATTTGGAATTTGCGATTGTTTTGTTGAGATTGTCACTATGCATGTATTGTTTACAATGCATCATATTTTTTTTTTTTTTTGTTTCTATGATGTGACAGAAACTATCACTTATTTTGAGTGATTGTTATATCTCAACTTTTAGTTGTGATTGTTGAGATAGTTGAGTTGAGATTGTTTTGTCTCAGCTTTTAGCTGATGCGATATACACAATCACACATACCAAACGTTATATTCTACAATGCATTAAATTCGACAATACATGTATAATATATGCATTCTCAACAATACATCTATTTAACAATCGCAACTTCCAAACGACTCCGAAGTACAAGTAGCACCGCCAACACGGGATCGAAATTTCGGTTGCAGTCGATACGGGTTCACGCGTTTTCGTGCGTGGGGAGCGAATAAAATAGAAATTTGTTGCTATCGGTTGGGCCGCAGGCCCACGATACCAAATACAACGCGTTATTATTCTCCCACTTCATACCTTCTTCATCTTTCCTCTCTCTTCCAACGGGAAAAAAACAAACGACTCCTTTCTTTCCCTCTCCTTCTCTCTGTTTTCTCCTGCTCTCTCTGCTTCCACCTTTCCCGGAGCGACCGAAAATCCAGCCGGAGAAAAGAAAAACAAAAAATGATCGCCGCCGCGCTGTTACTCCTGCTCCTCTTCCTCGCCGGAATCTTCAACCTCAACTCTTACTTCCCTTCCAAGAAGCTCCGCGCCTGGCTCCACTCCCTCTTCCTCCAGCTCAAATCCGCTCCTCCTCCTCCTCCTCCTCCCCCGCCGCCGCCGCAGCAGCAATCCGAGCCTGCTACTCCTCCTCCTGCTGCATCTGTGGTTGATCGAAGTAATAAGGATGCGGACGAGGATCTGACGAGCGTTTTCGCGACGTTCGACAAGAACGGCGACGGGTTCATCACGAAGCAGGAGCTGAAGGAGTCGCTGAAGAACATCCGGATCTCCGTGACCGAGGCGGAGGTGGAGGAGATGGTGGCGAAGGTGGATTCCAACGGCGACGGGCTGATTGACTTCGAGGAGTTCAAAATCCTGTGTAGAAACATGGCCGCTGGCGGAGAGGGAGAGGCGAGGGCGTCAGATCTGGAGGCAGAGGAAATCAAAATTGACAGCGGAGGAGATGAATTGAGAGATGCGTTCGAGGTGTTCGACCGATCCCGGGACGGGCTGATCACGGTGGAGGAGCTGGGGTCGGTGCTGTCGTCGCTGGGGATGAAGGAAGGGAAGCGGATGGAGGCCTGCAAGGAGATGATCCGGAGGGTGGATGCCGACGGCGACGGGATGGTGAATTTCGATGAGTTCAGGACGATGATGAGGAACGGCGGCGGTAAGCTCCTTCCGGTGTTCTGATTCATTCATTCATCGAGGCCGTTGCGAGGGGAAGAAATTGAAGGTCGAGAGGGAGGAGTTGGTTACTTGATTTCAACCATCTGTGGTATTCTAAAGCTACAAATTGAGAATGTTAGAATTACTATATGTTTGTTCTTTTGTTCATTTACATGGAAAGAGAAATAGGATTTGGTAGTTAAATTGGGAGATGGAGTTTAGTGTTTGATGTTCTTTGCATGGTCTATGAAATCGTACCGGAGACTGTACCGGAAAAGTCAGCGATAGGGTATTTTATGATAAAACTGTGGTTTAACCGTAGTTCAACCGTTAGTACCGTTAAATGCCGCCTATCGGTTTAGCCTCCGATACTGGTATTTTGTGGTTGAACCGTTGGAACGGTACGGTTTAATGGAGCATGGTTTTTTGGCCTCATCTTTCCAATTAGATTAATCCACCACTCATAAACACAATTAGATTAATCCACCAATCACCAATCACCACTAATCAATTATCTCTTAGTTAGACATATCAAGGGTCAAAATCATGGCGCAAAATCAGTTAAGAGTTGGCTCATAGGGCTCGAAATACAGATCAGGGCAAGTCAACATATTAGGTAAATCTAAGACCTTGTGTAAAATAAACCGATTAGGGTTTATGATATTATTCAAATAAGAAACTAATAATATGTCTGAAGTTTATATGATTCAACACACTTCAAAAAACTATAATTGTAAACCAAAGTACAGACGGAAATGAGCTACACACCCCTAAGCACATCCCAGAGGCTTTTGATAACTGATAGGCCTTCCAAGTTTCAATCTTGGCCAACCTTTTAGGAAAAGAATCAAAGTAAGAACTGAAATCTGTGCAAGACAAACACCAAACTATAAAAACATACTTGCAGAGCATCGGGGGGGAATGTCTGTTTAGATATTATGTATGCTTCAGCAAAGTTGTTTGTATGCTCAATTAGAAGACATCGGGATGGAACCGCCCGGGGATCGAGCTGCTTTGCTGAGCCTGCTTCAGGTGCATCGTCAATGCATAATTGTTCACCTGGCAGAGAATTACAACCCCATGCGCGGGAAAGGGAATCAGAAAGCAGTTTTGCATACTGCTGATATAGATCTACAATGGAGTTGTTAAGAAGTTCCACAAACCTCCAAGGTTCTCAATTGGTCCTGATATTGAGCCACCAGTTGCTTCAAGTGCTGCAGTTCCTGGTTCCTGTCATCAAACTCTTTCTGCCGCTCATGTTGAATTGTTACAGCTCGCTTCAGAATGGTGTTCTCGTGTATGAGTAATTGGACTTGCTCCTTCAACTTTAGGTTTTCCTATAAAACCAAGTGCGAATTTACCAACATATCAGAGAGCTAGGGAAGTCATTTGAGCTTTAACCGTTTGTTGTGCATACAGTTACTACAAGAAAGAGAACAAGAGAGGAGGAAAATTGAAGGGGGTGGAGGGATGAGTTATCAAAGTAACTAACCAATTGAAAGTTTTTCACTGCTTCTGCACCTGCACGTGCATAGATTGATTTCTCGAGAGCTTCCAGTGCTCTTGATGCCCGTGCTTTGGCATCATCCATGTTGGAAGCACTAGTCATTTCTCTAACAAACAGCTCAACCCACTCTGCACCGTCCATTTGAACATGTGTTGGAATTGAAGGATCCTCAGCTGGGGGAACTGAAGCATTGGTTGGCTCAACACCTGCAATGAAGTCGTCCAATAAAAAAACAATCAGAGCTAGTAAATCAAGCATTACAAATTATTAGTCCGCTGTTGCAATATGCATCTGTTTATGTATGTCACGAATGGTTTAAATGTTGGAACATGTCTAATCTCATGAAAGTTAGCGTCATATAACGGAAGCTAATAGATATAGTTGGTGGAGCAAACAACAGCGGCTGTGAACTAGATCAAAATATAAGCCAAACACCAATAAGAAGAATACATTTTGCAAACACTCCTAATAAACGGAAAATATAAGCCAAACACCAAACTTCTCCATAGAACATAGACAAAAACACTACAGTTTATTTCTCCTGATTCCCTTGCGTACTAGAGCAAGGGAAGAACACTTAAAAATAAAGAAAATGAACTAGTTGTGAACAAACATATCGATCTTAAAACCCAACGAGCTAAACGCATGTGCTGGTTCAGATTGAAGACATTCACATTCAAACCAAATATACATCAAACTGAAACCAAAGTCTTTCTCTTTCATGATCATATCTTCTAGCAAAGAGCAGTGCAGAGTCATACAACAACATTCACATGTATACCATTGGAAAACATCCAATTAAGCCAAGAATGATATTTTAAGAAACTGACAAAAGTCTGAAAAAGAGCATTACCTTGAACATTGCCATTAGCATCAAGGAGTCCATCACATTTCCCACCATCAGAATCTAAATTCTTATCAGCCGATCCCAAACGAAGCTCGTTCAAGCTCCTTATGGCTGAATCCAAATCCTCCCCACATTCGGCAAGTGCTCTCTCAAGAAGCTACAAAACAAAAACATCGAAATGGGCAACCAAAATTGGGCGTCACCTACCATCCCTAAATCGAAACGCTACATATTCCAACCATCAACAACCAATCCAGCCACCCAATGACAACAAATAAAAAAAGTTTACCTCCTTGTCCATCTCAGGGAAAATAGCGGCGAGCTGTTCGACCAAATGCGCAGAAGCCGAGCTGACGACAGGGGCCCGCGGCGGGGTGGAGAAGCTGCTGGCTGGGCTGGGTCTCGGAGGCGAGAAACGGACAGGGGAAGACGAAGAACAACGGATTCTCTTGTTAACAGGCGGGCTTGTCACATTCAACTCTTCGAAGAAGGATCTCTTCCCGCACACTATCGCAGACATAGTTTCTGATCGAATCCTCTCTTCTCTCTTCTTCCTATCTCTCTCGCTATTCCCCCTTTCCACCTCTAATCTAATCCTACCTCCAATCCCTTCGTCCCGATCATGCAGCAAAAAGATCTAATCCCTAAAATTTACCCACAAACAGAACAACGATTTCACACAAATCGAAAACTACCTATCTCGCGATGAACAAATAACTTAAGGGATTCGATTCAAATCGGAATCAATCGGGGAAGCGTCGAATTAGGGTTTTTCGTTCTGGGAATTGGGTGCTTGGCTGCCGAGAAAGGAAAAGGGAAAAAGGTTGCATCGTTTCGTTTTCTTCCTATCTGAATCGGGCCAACCGCCCTATGATTCGAAAAGTTTCGCGAAATCCACAGCGGAGGCGAAACGGTGCCGTGCCGTCGCGGCTGGGGATTGGTGAAAAGGCGCGGGTTATTCACGTAACGTTAGGAATATCGACAAATTCGTGCGTGGAGCGGCAACGGCTTATCTGCTTGTCACGTGGCGGGCAATGATTGGCTAATTTAAAAAATATTGTGATCGTTTCTGGTTGGGCCGGGCCTACGGGTGGATTTGCTGTCGTTTGATTCAGCGAGCTGCGGGCTTTTCTACACCATAGATTTTGGGCCATCCATATCCATTAAGGAAATTTTTTTTGTTTGACCTGCTACGAAAGGATAGGAAAGTCCATCATGAATCATGCCTCGAACACCAACTCAAACAAGCTTGACCGTAGATTGGACAATGAGAAATCACAAATCTAGCAAAACAGGAGTAAAAATGGGTCGGGTTAAAGTTGTCATCCCTGAGTCTGCGAGGGATGATGAAAACATATGTAACTTGTGTCCTTATAAGTTGTAACGACAAGTTGAAATGCAGACGGACCTTCGTTTATGAGGAAACTAATCAAGATTGTATCGTGGAATCTAGCGACAATTATTGACATACAAGTATTGTAAGAAAGTGGTTAAGTACCATATATTAGCATGTATAAGATTCAACATAACCTTCTCCCAACCACTCGAGTTATTGGGACCAACTGGTTTATGACATGGTATCAGAGCTGGCTTGTCTTTGAGGTCACGTGTCCAAGTTATCACGACCCCCAATATTAACCATTGTCTTTCAAGCACATGGTATGGCGGGCCTGTGCAAACTTCAAGCCCATGAGTCGGCTTTCATTTGAGGGGCATGTAAGGAAGTGGTTAAGTTAACTACCATACATGTGTCTGTATAAGATCCAGCATAACCTTCTCCCAACAACTCACAACTCGAGTCATTGTTAATGACCTGCATCCAGTTGGTGTGCCTGATCTGAATCAACAACCAGAGCTCCTGCCTCGACGATTTTGCTACTCCGATCCAGAGAAAGTAGAAAACAGTTGACTGTGAGGGGGAACAATCTAGCTAACTAGGTCTAATTAACTGTATACGTGAAATTTTGCGCACACAATGCCAATCAATGAGAGTATGTATAGAGTAGTTTACCAGAGGCCCTGATGAACATATACGAATCCAAGTCGCGATCGATCCCTTTCGTCGTAACTTGGCACCTGACCCCACATTTCGCGAACAAGAGATTGGTCGAGTGATATTATCACCGATTTTGAACCTGGTGGAAATCTCAAATTCGAATCTCTTTAAGTAAAAACCTGTCAACCTTCAGCAACAATAATATAGTCATGCATAGCTCTTGTTAAAACAAAGATCAAGGCATGATCATCAAGTGATTAAGGACTCCCAATTAATAGACCAATAATGCCCTACTAAACAATGCAAAACCCTTCTAATTAACGTATTGAAAACTCATGATCCCCACGAGGACAAACACATAATGGGATTCAAATAGTATGGAGAAGCAGATGGGAGAAAAAAGTGATATTGGCGCGGCTCAATCTGAGATCGTATTTTACTATCAACCAACCATTGCCGTGAAACAAAAATCCGTCTTTGGATTGAACCCCACCAATATCGCCTTTCTTACGTTATCCGCCGATCGACATGCTTTCTTTTTCCTCGCCACTTTAATTTGCTTCTCCGCCATGATCACAAAACGAAAAGGAAACAAAGGCTTAACTTAATTATCCCTTTCCCAACAACTCGAGTTATTATTATATCTATGTTGCTTTCTTTCAGAGATAATTATGGCAAAAAATTAAGGGGTCGTTTGGAAGTTGCGATAGTTTTGTTGAGATTGTCATTATGCATATATTGTTTACAATGCATCGTTTTTTTTGTTTTTTTTAGCAGAAACAATACATGGATTGTTTCTGTGATGTGACAGAAACTATCACTCATTTTGAGTGATTGTTATATCTCAACTTTTAGTTGTGATTGTTGAGATAGTTGAGTTGAGATTGTTTTGTCTCAGCTTTTAGCTGATGCGACATACACAATCACACATACCAAACGTTGTATTCTACAATGCATCTATTTAACAATCGCAACTTCCAAACGACCCCTAAAGGTATTGAACAAGGTTCAAGACGACGGTAGGCACGAGAATAATATATAAATAATGTTGTCAATTTGTCTCCTTTGATATTTACTGTCTAGCTCTGCCTAATTAATTAATTATGCATACTACGCGAACCATGTAGACTTACTCCACTGATGAATTCGGATACTCTTGGGTGAGATATTTTGTTGCTGCTATATGCTCGTCTAAACATAAGTTTGAACATGTTTATTTTCGAACCCTCGTAGTGAGCATGTACAACTTTTTAAACTAAATAAATTTGCCTTTCGTTTGACAATTTTAGAAAATGAAAATTTAAGACGAAACAAACAAACACATACATGGGCCGGCCGAACTTTGAAAATTACGGAGGGCATCCAAGCCCAAACATGGCCACGCTAAGCATAGGCCTAATAACCAAACATGGAAGCTGTAAGGAACTAAATTTTAACGAGCCCATCCACCACGAGGGCCAGAAAGTTTGGGAGATCAATTTTCAATTCTGGTTTAAGTGTTAGATTCGGAAAATGAATGTATTGATGAAGATAAATCTTTGAATTTATGGCTGGATTTGTTGCCAAAAAATGAACATTTTCGAGATAAAATTCAAAGACAAAAAAAAAAAAAAAAACCATTACGATTATACATTAACTACACAATCTCATAAATTTACCACAAGTCCCGATGCAGAACGCCGACAATGAAAACTAGTGCTAACTTAATATGACAGATACTATTCTCAAACCAAACCATACAACTATTTCTTCCATAGGAAGAAATCAAAATTCAAAAAAAGATAACAAATATTTCTCCCAATATAATTAATTATACTCCATCCATTTTCTTTTTCTTGATTAGATTTTGATCGATCGAACCAACATCACATTTTAAATGAGAATATTGATACTTCATTAGAACCGCATGAAGGAAGAAAAAAAATTGTTCAAAATGCCTGGTCGCTGCTTATCATTATGTGACTGGTGTAACAACTAATCTTATTGTAATATCGTTCCGAATTCAATATCATTGTTGTTATTGACCAACCCACTTGAATCAAACCAATACCGTAACAAGTAACAACGATTTCTTTCGAACTCCAATTTCTACCATCTACCCTAACCATATCCGATACGAGCCAACCAGAAACTCGGTCCGACCAAACCCGGAAACTACCAGTCTCCTCTACGTCCAAATCACGTCAATACGCGGGCCACTCGCTAAGTCCCCATTCCGTCTTCTCTTCCTCCTCTTTCTGCATTCTTCCAAGTTCCAATTTCCCTCCCTTCTTCTTCCCCCATCCCCTTTTTCCTTCTTCCCTAAGCAAAATCCCAAACCCCATTTCCCTCCAAATCCCTAGCCATGCACGAGACCGAGCTCCACGATTTGTCCGACGACGCCGATTACGCTGCCTCTGTCGAGCAAGTAAGCCCCTGAATCTCTCTCCCTCCATCTTCCGTCTTATCTCCGTTTCAATTGTTCTATCGAATTGAATGCTTCCCCTCCGAATTCGATCGGAGCTATGAATTGCGAGCACTGGAGTGTAGAGCATGCCTGGACGCCATTAGCGATTGATTGAACTTGAATTGGTAGTCGTTTAGGTTTCGTTTCTCTGGTTTGACTTGGGACCGTGTTTGTTTCGTTTGGTGGATTGGTGATAGGCGTCGGCGAGTGTCATGCTGACGAGAACCGAGAGCGGGAGTAGGAGTTTTCCCAGCGAGCCGGAAGGTGCTGAACTGATTTATTCGAAGGATAATGTCACGATTCACCCGACGCAGTTCGCTTCAGAGAGGATCAGTGGAAGGCTGAAGCTGGCTAAGCAAGGGGATTCAGTGTTCATGGTAACGATTCCTTTTTCGTGGAAGTTTGTATTCATATTCGGTCTGCTTTGTACTTCGGTTTGACCGTGTGATTATAGAGCATGTTTTTTGCTTCCTGGTTTTAGACATGGAGTCCATACAAAGGGCAGAGGTCCAATGCTAGGCTTTCTGAGAAAGGTTGGCTAGCATGACTTCTGACTGCAATTAGTGATTCGTACGCTTGGGACTGCTGTATAATTTTTTTCTCGGTTTACTTTTGTAGATAGGAACCTTTACACAATCAGGGCTGTACCTTTCTCGGACGTGCGTTCAATTCGTCGACATACACCAACTCTTGGGTGGCAATACATAATTATTGTGATGTCTTCAGGTACGAGATGCACGTGCTTTCTAGCAAAGACTCTTTGATTTGTAGCGATTGTAGATTTGAAGATAAATGCCTTAAAGGAGTCATGCGCCAGTTTTATTCCTTCTGTAAGGTTATTAATTTGTGATTTCACTTTTTATGTCTGTTAGTTATAATTCTGTGTTGCTGCACATGTTATTCAGTTTTATGTGGCTCAAGGTGTAATGAAGCAACATGTTGTAACTCTGTGCTCTCTGCGTTGGATTTGCATGTTGAGCAGGACTTGCATTTCCTCCTCTTTACTTCTACAATGGAGGAGTGAAGGAGTTCTTTGCTACACTGAAGCAACATGTTTTGATTGTCAGGTCTGTAATTG